CTGCCACTTTTTTCCACTGTGTTATTATCAGTATTTTATTTCAGGTGATCTTGCTATCGGAGAGGGAGTGATGCGGTACTTTATGACAACAATCATATCCAAACTCCAGTTTGGATTCAGTCTAGATCTTGGTAAGTACTCGCACACGTTCTGGTGGTTGATGAACGCAGATATGTGCTGTTTAGCAGAGGGCCGGTGGGCAATGTTTTGTGTCAGGTAAATCAGTAAGTCAGTAGTAGGATATTCAGGGGGGTTGCATTTGAAGTGGTTTGGGGTCTGTAAGTCATTTTGGAGTAGGCTACAATTTTGTTTAAGTGAATTCTACAAGCAGCAATACCACAGGCCAAGTAATCGCCCGTTCCAAACAGGCACATTTTCAACGGGCACTGCACTAGTATGATGTAATTTTATGTATTTAAGAGGTTAGTTGTTGTGACTTTATTCCCTGCTCTCTTGGTACTTTACAGGAGGAATGGGCCGAACACTGCTATTTGAGGGTGAACCTGACCATCTTGTTCCAGCAGCATCAGAGGCACTTATTGAAAGCAACCTCTTCCGGGTTGCAGGAAGGATGTTGGCCCACACTTTTCTGCATGACGGTCCCCATGTTACAGGATTAAGTCCTGCTGTAATTCATGTACTGCTCAATGGGGACCCAGAAATGGCTACTGTTGTTATTGAAGACTGTCCTGATCTGCACATCAGGAGCATCATAGAACTGGTATGTAACCTAAAAGATAATTTGCCATGTAAAAAAATATTGCTTGGGCAGATATAATAAATGGTATGGTCCTTATTCTAGCTTGAACATGAAGAACTTACACCGGAACAGAAAGCCACAGTTTCAGATCTTTCCATGTCTTGGGATCTTCCGGCAGTCACCAAAACAAATCGGAGATGGCTACATAATAAACTTCTACTCCATGCAGTGAGTTCCTGCTGGTTAAGTGACAGAACTCATTGCTGTACTTGTTGAAATTATAGAATGTATTCTGAACCCTGGCTTGTTAATGTTAACACAAGAGTTTAAGTACTCGAGTTTTAATGGGTTTTTATAAGACACTTTATTGTGCTTTTATTAACATTTTGTTCTACTGTGCCAACTTTTGTCAAATTTGGGTTAAGGATTTCTGCTGTAATATGGGTCTGTCTGTCTCTTAGGTCGTTGGGAGGACCATGCGCCAAATTAAACAGTTGAGAAAGGGACTGAAAGATGTGATGGTATGGCCCCTGCTGACATCTAGGCCAGATGTTGTCCCACTTCTTTTCCCCAAAATGGCTGAAATGCAGTTCACACCCCAGGTAAGTCAGTAATTTAGTTATATTTGTGACTTAACTTAATGAATTTTACGTCTTTTTTCCATGACTGAGCTGGCTATTTTTCCATTTTCCAATAATGTGATCTGCATCTCCCTTTTTAAAATTACAATTTGTTTTCTTTAAGATGCTCCTAGAAGAAATCACATGGCCAGTTGAGGACAGTGATGATGAAGACTTTGACTTGGACACCACCTGCCGCATCACTGGCTTTCTAAGGATGTTCATTGAAACGGGTATAAACCTAATTTCTCTTTAAAAATGCTTCTATGTCTCATGGATAGATATGATCAAATAAAGTTGAACTAAATGTCTTCAATCCATTGTATGACTTTTAGCTTCATCAGGTACCCTGGCCCAGCTGCTGACATCCTGGGTTGGCTGGGAGATGCTTCCTCCTGAACTGACAGTGGTGATTTCTGAGGGAACCCTTCCTACGTCCTCCACATGCTTTGAAACACTAAAGCTGCCAGCTCATTTCAAGATCTACATGGACTTTGAGAAAGCACTTGTCGCTGCTATAAAAAGTACTGGATTTGGGCTTGTTTAAGTATTTTCAGACACAAGTTCAGTGTCTTTGAAAACTGATTAACACACTGCAGCAGTTGACTTTTTATTTTATTTTTATTCGGCATATATATATTTTTTTTTTAAAGGAAAGCAAACTTTCAGTTTTTGACTGCTTGTTCTAACACAAAAAATAAAAACGTGTCGGACATCAGTCTAAGATTCTTGATAACACTTCCACAGTCTCTACATATAGTCTAAGCGCATCAGTAACAGAAACTCCTGGAGCTGGCAAAATTGCAACCTCTTCATCTGAGAGCTCACGGGCCAGCTGAACCTCGGGGACTGACACAGTGCCTCCATGAAGGCTGTGAGGTCCGTTCCAGTCGATCCCATACTCTTCAGGAATCTGAAAAGATGACAAGCATAATCAAACTTGTACTTAAAAATAGTTTGACATGTCCTAACACAAGATTGTTATTTTTGGTCACCAAGTCAGTGAGAAATTGTTAGTTATTAAAGTTTTGTGAAATAATACAGCTGTAGTATGCACTGTAGAAACTACAGCTCACAGGTTGATCTTTAAAAGCTTGGGAGATTTTAAAGACAATATAGTAAATGTTCCATTTAAAGTACCACATTTAGCACAATTTTTTTCCTCCCATAATTCCTTTTGGGCAAACACTTTAGAAACGTGTTTAAAGTTGATTGTTAACCTCAGTAGGATCCTCCTCAGGGCCTTGCTCTCTGTAACGTCTCCAGAGTTGCTGTGGTGACTGATTCCTTTCAGTTCTCAGACCGTGAAAGTTCCAAGCATCTCGAAAAGAGTCTAGGCTTTGCTGAACCAGTGGAAGGAAAATCCGGTGCAGAGCGAAAAGATGGACTTCATTGTCTGGATTCAGTGTTCCCTGATCTTCCAATGAAGTAAAGATCTGATAGAAGAGGTCCAGGGCATGTTCATAAACATCTCTCCACATCCTCTCTATTCTGTGTTTAGGATAAAATTGTCAAATTGTTAATTTATGTGACATATGCTAAAGTACATTCAACTGGTATTTTAGTTGTGTGAGCCTAGTTGCCAAACATATTTCTTTACCGCTGATTGTGGACACTTCTGCCTGTGATGTGTGAATTCCTGTCGGTACCTCTGCTTCTGATCATGAATTCTGCTACATCTGCATTCTCCCCCCCTTTATCAGACCGTACCCTTGATGGCAGCCCATACTGCTCAACAGCGGCGATAAAGCTCTGTAAGACCGTATGAGCTCTGTTATTGCCAGCCACAGTCAGGTAGACCACTAAACGACTGAATCCATCCACCCCACCGTGGACAACAAATCTCCACCTGTTGCAAAGACATGAAAACATACAACTTTATTGTGAAACAATTGTAATGAAACATCTAGAACGATGAATTGTTTATCTGCTAATATCACTGACCTGATGAGCTTATGGTGGCCATCTATATGCCACAAAGAGTTTGGGCCAGGCACAAAATACTGCCGTCGCCTTAATACACGCAGCCTCAGACGTCTCATGTAGACTCCCTCTGCATCTACTCTGCGTAAAGACTCTTGCAGTCTTGAGACTGAGGGGAGGAACATCCGGACAGCTGAGAATATTACTGTCAGATATTGTTCCACCTCTATTAAACAGGAGGCTAAAAATCACAGGACATGTCTATCCTGATGATAGAAGTCAGCTGTCCTGAAATGTGTGTTTCTCTTCTATTATACACATTCTACATCTCAGAGGCGATGTCTTTCCAAAAGCGGGCTTCCTTCACCTTTCAAAAGGGCAGAGCTCCGAATTAAAAATACATTTAAATAATGCCCATATTATTATACTCACTTGGAACACGCACACCTCTTGCATTCAGGTGACCACGCATTAGCTTGTAGCCGGTGTTTGGATGACTTCTGTGAATTTCACTTACAATATGGTCCAATTCCTCATCATTCACAGCTGAATAGAGATCTGTTTTTCTGTAGAAACAAAAAAAACACAACATCAAGTAATGTTACCTTAAACGCCATATTCTTTCAGAGTGTATGAGAGCAGCAATTGATAAACAGAAACCTCATGAATTTAGTGTAAATACCTTAAACTGTGTTGTTGCATGCACCTCCTGATGGTCCTCTTTGACACTCCGAACATCGCTGCGATTTGAACTGCGGGAACTCCACAAAGAACTTGATGCTCCAGAACTGCACTCGGTATCTCAAAGGGCAAACGCCCCGGTCCCTGTGTGTGTTGGGCCTGATGCGCCCTGGTACCAGAGAAGCGGTGGACAACTTCTAGATTTGTAATTACTCTGTGGTCGATATCTTCGTCAGAAAGTGCGGAAATGACTCCAACAACTTCAATAAGTTCCTCTGCTTTACTAGCTACATGCTCGGACTCAGCAGGTCCTGCTTCTACATCCCCTGCTAAGTTTAAAATGTCTCTCACCAACTCCCTGGAAAGTTCACGGAGATCCTCCATGTTTCTATCCAGGTACTTCAGACCAAAGCAATGGATCAGACTAGATTCGCGTTAGCCCCGCCCACTGACTTTGATGGGTCAGTTTGACAGTTTTAAGTAATTCATGAAGCGCTGCAACGCAGGATCATGAAATGTAAATGTAAATAGTGAAATAGTTATATATGCATTTTACATACAATGAATCGGTATTTTAATTAATTAATGACACATTTAATGACACATTTATTTATTTAATTCCAATTTTAATTAATGAATGACACATTTAAGTAATTATTTAATGGTGTATTTATTTATTTAATTGTGGCACTTTTAGTCCTCCATAGCAGAACACATGTCGTTTGGAGAACACACATTTCCAAAGTTCTTTACAGACGTGGTGTCAAATTACACGCAGATGTACTTCATTATCACCCAAGTCGTCTGATTTTACAGTGACATGAGCAAACGACGTATCAAAACACGGATTTTTTTTTATACATACGAGGCAAATGAAATTGACGTCTACAAAACCCACAATGAGGAATATCTGAGGAAAAGAGTCTCGTTCCTCTCGCCACTGAGTTCAGAGCTTCCGAGAAGTTTTCCTCCTCTTGACTCAAGTTGATACAATGTCGCGCACACCGAACCACTACAGGTCTTAGGGGGCGGAGCCAAACAGCTGGATGCTCCAGTGAGACTGAGCCCCCCCCTCTTCTCCCCCTTCTCCCCCCTTCTGCGATTCAAAGCGAAAAACGGAGAACGGGTTCTCAGTTGTCCGGGAAAGACCAAAAGGGGATTTGATACAAAAATAGGACTCCTTTGTGTCCCGCGTGGGATACTTTTGGACTACGAGGTGTGCGAGGCCCGGTCCGCGTGCTCAAAGTTACCGAAAGGCTCGCTCGCTCGCGCGGAGGCAGAAGGTGAGTAACGGGAGTCGCGGATCCGCTTCTGATGTTCCTCGTTGTAGCTAACTTAGCTGGAAGCGTGAAGGTGAGCAGCTGTTAGCATTTGAGAGTTGTCGTTGCGTGATTGTACAACTTGTATTAAAAACAAGCCGGTAAATCAACCAGTTAAATAAAGTTTCGTTATTTAAAGATAAAAACATACGACTACAAAAAAAATTAAAATAATTACGCCTCAAAAAAGAAATATAGAAGTTGAATTCATAGTGTCGCCTATTGATTGCATTTACAGCAGGTGCTCATTTTTGCACACACTCGTTTTTGCTCCATGAAGTGACGTGAGCATCAAACAAACCCTTACTAAAAAGTATATTACTTTACATTTGCAAGGCTGGATAATAGTTGTCTGATTAACGGATGAATGTTATTTACCTAATCCCCCCCCTTCTATCACCAGCTAAAAGGACACATCAGTCCGTGCCAGGGTCCCATCTACCTTTCCTCCACCTTCAACACAATGAATCATTTGGGTGCGATGCAGACGCCAGTCACGCTCAGTTAAATGTTAGTACCACCTGAGCAGATATTGCTCGGCTGGCCGAAGAAGAGGAGGAGGAAGAAGAAAGGGTCTGCTCAACGCGTGTTGGAAGATGTCTCCCTGGGTGATCCTGCCCGTCAGCCTCCCAGTTCTGACCATCACTGGGATCTGGGTTGTGTGAGTATTCCATTTCTTTGGCTGGTTTGTAAAATGGTCTTCTGTGTTGACCGTGAGCGGTTCTCAGGGGAGGTTGATTTCTGTGTTGAGGATGATAAGTAGCTTATGGTGCAAAGGATACTCTTTGTGATGCAAATGTAGTTCGTCCTGCCAATATAGCAGTAATCTGTCGATCTGTTTTTTCAGCATTCACACAGTTTACTTTGAATGTTAACAGACACAGAGGGAAAACAATGGCCAATACACTCACCGGCCGCTTTTATTAGGTACACCTTCCTAGTGAAAGGTTGGACCCCCTTTTTCCTTCAGAAATGCCATCTTTCTCCTTGGCATACTTTCAACAAGGTGTTGGAAATGTTCCTCATAGACTTTGGTCCATCTTGACATGATAACAATGTCCCCGACACCACCAGCCTGAACCGCTGATGCAACGCGGGATGGATCCCTGCTTTCGTGTTGTTTACGCTCTGACCGTACCATCTGAATGTCGCAGCAAAAATCTAGACTCATCAGACCAGGCAACGTTTTTCCAATCTTCTATTGTCCCATTTTGGAAAGCCTGTGTGAATTGTAGTCTCTGTTTTGTGCCGTTAGCTGGCAGGTGTGACAGCAGGTGTGGTGGTCTGCTGCTGTAGCCCATCCTCTTCAAGGTTCCACGTGTTGTGCGCTCAGAGATGTTATTCTGCCTTCCTCGGTTGTAATGAGTGGTTATTTGAGTTACTGTTGCCTTTCAATCATCGCGAACCAGTCTGCACATTCTCCTCTGACCTCTTGCATCACCACGGCATTTTTGTGCACACAACTGCCGCTCGCTGGATATTTTCTCTTTTTCGGACCGTGCTCTGTAAACCCTAGAGGTGGTTGTGCGTTGAAATCCCAGTGGATCTGCAGTTTGTGACTCACTCAGACCAGCCCGTCTGGCACCAACAACCATGCCACGTTCAAGTTTTTAATACAATATAAAAAAGAATGTAGATATTTTAGCATTTATAATAGATGTCACAGTGCAAATACCCCAAAATATTCTGATTGAGATGTGCACGCTCACAGCATCTCTTAATCATCAGCAGGATGCTGATCTGAGCACTTGGAAAATACTAACAACCTCCTAGTTGTGTTTGGCCTGACGGCTCTCTTCTCTGCTTTAATGCCGCGGGAGACGGACAGCCGGCGCAGTTCCAGATTGGTGTCGTCTCCATGTGGGATCGGTACCGTGGGGGGTGTGGGAGTGTCTTCATTGGATGCCAAAACTAAGACCACGTACACCAATTAGTGTTCGTCGACACGGCTGCTTACAGTCCGCCTGTGAGTGTGTGTTCGGGTACACGGGTTTGATGCTGCTTCACACCGATACTGACTTGGAGAATGAGCAGGTGAACATTTGTGTCATTTGTGCTGCACATTTCTTTCTTGGTATCCAAGGTAGAAAGTCACGATGCCAAACGGTGCTGACCCCCCCCGTTCCTTTTTAAACCCACTTCGTTCCCTTGACAAGGGTGCCTTGTTTCTAAGAGCAGCCGTGGCCCTTTTTCTTCTGGCCTTGTGGAATGTCAAAGGATGGACGTGTTGCATAACTTCCTTTTTCACTGCGGGTGAGTGGGTGGGAGTAAGGTAAATATTGGAAGGTGTAGTTCGAGAACGTAAGCAGAATTTCCCCCTCAGCATCTGGTGGCTGTGATGTTTAGTACACGAAAGGTCCGTGTGGAGGCAAAGGAAGGCTTGTGCCCACCCAAGAGCGTTGCCTTTCTTTAGTTAACCTTTTGTGAATTGAGCATGTGCTTGTAAAATCAGCGTGGCTCCACCACACCTGTGAGCAGTACCTCTTCCATATATACATATAGTATATTTACCGCTGAATGCATTCCTGATGTGTTGTTTTTGCACATTCATTCTCATTGGCCATACCCTTCTGTCAAAGTCCATGTCCAACCCTAAATAAAGAAATATGCTTTTTCCACCTTATATTGCTCACAGACATGCATTTACAGTTTACAGCCTCTTCTGAGCTTTGATAGCGGTCCAATTATGTAAACAAACCTATTATTACTTCACCTCCTCTCAAGCCCAGCATGCACAAGTTTAGTTTCACATACCGCTTAAAAAGGCCCCTTTTATTTAGAAACGTCCCAGAGCTGTACTGCTGCTATTTCAGCTTTGGAAGATGACCAAATATTTAAACAAAAAAAGAGACCTGGTTCCAGATTATTTTCCTACATTTTGTCTAATGAAGTCCTTTGTTTATTCTCTACAGTTATTTTTTTTGTCAAGTTGGTATCTTTGTATCTTTGCTCTGATGGCCATATTCCACCCTCCCCCCAGGTTTTCCTCACTGCATTATGCATGAGCAGTGCTCTTTACATGTCTGCCATCTGCTTTATGTGAATTTCATATGGTGATTCAAATACCCGAATTCCAACCAATAACCAGTCAACCAGAAGTCAATGGACATGCGCTTTACCAGTCGCATGTGGCATTTGGCAAGAAATAAAATTAAAAAATGAGTTGACCGTCCGTACATCAAGCTCCTCACACTTTAGAAGAGGAGCATGATGAGCCCCAATTTTAAGAAACCACCAAATTGAATATTAAACATGAGCTATAACTGTAACTGGCAGGCGTCTGCACAGTTGATGTGCGTTTTAAGTGGACCTGACTGCGCTGATGTTGCCTTTTGATCTCACCTTCAACAAGTTCTCTGGAACGCTGATATGAAGCAGTCAACGAATATTTATCTGATTCTTATTATTTTGGACAGTGACTCCCTGACCTGAACTATACAGCTGGGTTATATCGTATGTCATCACACTGGTGGGAACTATTAGTCCTGATTCGGTATTGTTCAATTTAAAATAAGCTTGTGCTTACATTAAATATTGTCATGAATTAAGTACATTGACATGTGTGTCTGTGCTCGCTGGTGCAGGTTTGTGTCCGTCTTTATAATATATCCCGGTCCTTCCACGAATAGGTTTGTGAATAGGATTCCATCGCTCCTGGAAACGTTCCTAATTGTTACTTAACCTCCGGCTGAACTACGGCTGCCGTCACAAATCAGGACAGATACTCTCCGTCCGACTTTGCCTCGCAGTTAAATGTATTGCGTTGATTGTTTGAACAACGAAGAGTTAACATGACAATTTCCCAGACAGTTCCACTTTGCCGCCTTTAATCTCACGTCACCCAACGCAAATTAGTGTCAAAAGATATCCTGCGTAAATGTATATGTTGTTCTTTGTTTTAGTGATTTTAAAAGTGTAGTTTATATATATTTATATGCCAGTTTATCAGATGGTAAATGGGTCCAGCTCTAGTTTTATTTTAATTGATTACTGACACAAATATCTGACACACAGAACCTCCATTTATGTAGGTTCAATTGGTTGAATCAGTTTTTACCGGTGAGCATTTTGACCATTAAAAAAGAAACATTGGGTAGGTGGTTATCGGAAGTAGAATATTGTCCGCTTTCATATTACAGTCTTCTGATCCTCTGACCATTGACCTCTCTTAGGATTAAGCTGGTCAGTGACCCGGCCAAATACACACTATTGTTGGATTATCCAGTGTGACACAGTCTGACACAAACCAGAATGATAAGAAACTCAAATGTCGGGTCACCCAATCCTACAGGTCAAAAAAACAACCGGCCGGTACAGCTCGGTGGTAAATCGTAGGGAGGGAGACATCTGTCCGTGTCACTTGTGTGGCAGCTCTGGGTTTCCCAGCAATATGTTGCTTATGTTTGTTACTTGAATTTCCTGTCATTTAAATATTTTGTTGTTATTCAGAATTATTGGTCGAGTCTCTTTTTGTACCATGATTCCTGTTTTTGTTTTTGTCTCCTCATACTGTCTCTCTTCTAGGTATGCCATGGCCCTGTACAACCAACATGTCTGCCCCGTGGATAACTGGTGTGTTCAGTCCATCCTCTATTTTGCCACATACACAGTACCTCTGTTGATTCCTGTACACTTAAAGAATCTTTGAGTACATTCTGGTGGTTTGTCGTTGTGTTTCCCAGTATTGTTCTCTAGGACATGCTACTTTATAAAAAAGAACCTAAATAAGCTCACGCACCAAACGTTAAACTGTGGTGCATTAACATAGGTCTAAAATGCAATTTAATGTTAATGCTAGTTCTCAAATCATGCCCTGCAGATGAGTGGCCAATTGGTTTTGTTTTGGCCAAACTGAGGTTAATCTCTAACAGCAGATTTGCTATTTGATGACACGGTGATCCTCTTGACTTTTTCACACGGCGATCGTAAGCACACGAAAAGAAGAAAGCCTGTTAGGGACACAAAATAGCATAAATTGTTACTGTACTTTAATCTCACGACTGAACATTTACATTACAGATTCCAAGCAATGTGTTTTTTTAACCAAGCAGGATTGAAGTTATGCTTACATTGCACGCTTGATGTTCCAGGTTATACAACCAGTCATGTGAAGAGGATCTGTACTTGCAGAGCGGGCCAACCTTGTGCTGCACACTAGACAATGTACCTCTGATCAGGTCAGTGAGACACTCCCTCTCTGAGCCCAACCATACCTCTGTTTTCTCTTTGTGTCTAGTTTCTGTCTGGTTATTAAAAACAGGAACACCGGCCAATTGTTTTTCATGACCTCTGTCGGCACATTGTTGATAAAAAAGCGAGTGAGCTTGAAGGAGACGGTCCTTGTGTGTGCGTGTGCGGACGGGCGTGTGCATTCTGAAAATATCTTTGGGCTGAAATATCCTGCCTGCCACCGTGGCAGTTGAGAAAGAGAGAGAGAGAGACACACACACACACACACACACACGCTGGCTTACATTTGGGAGGAAATCAAGACACTCCCGCTCTTTTGTTAAGCATTTTCTCCCACTGATCACAGAACATCAAAGGACAGTTTTATATTGTTCCTGTGTTTTGTTCCAAAACTCTGGAGACACAGTTGAAGAAATGCATATAAATAACTGCTTGTGTTTTTTTCTAAATGAAAGAGATTATGTAAGCACACATAAATAGCCCACAAACTACGTGCAAACTATGTGCAACTTCAACAGAGAAATAGAAATGTTTCAATGTTGAATGAATGATGTTTACTGATCTACAGTTTAGGCACGATGGTGGAAAAAATGAACACCTTGCATTTATATTGCCGTGCATTGAGCTTCATCAAACGCTGATGTAGCTGTTAATTAGTTGATCAAACATGCCACGTGAAACAAAAATCATACTAAATTTACATAACCATCGATGAAAAGAGTTATTAAAAAGGAATCTGTTCTGAAATTGAACACTGCAGTCAGCTGAGACGGCTTTGGCTGTCTCCGGTTCTCTCCTCCTAGAAACACTTCCCATTCTAGAGGAGAGTATACTGTTGGTGAAACGTCAAACCCTCGACGTTGAGATGCTGGGAAATGAGCCTCGTCCCCCCCTTCCTACCCCCCTTTACTCACTTCCTTGCTGTGTGAGCAGAAACTCATCTCTAACAACGTGCCGTAGTGCACAACGTAGGAGGGGAATTGGTGGGTCTATCGCTGTGGTGCGAGTTGATTCATGTATTTCTCTTGATTCATGTTTATTTCTTGCAGTAAATGTGGGACTCTTCCACCGGAGAGCTGCTTCTTCAGCCTCATCTGCAGCACAGGCTCGTTCATGGGTAAGACAACGTGAGGGGCCGACTTTGAGAAACGGGTTCAAAGGAGGTGGAATCCTTATAGACCATTAAACGGTATAAATACAGTGCTAATTCCATTATATAGTAGATGTTCTTGTCGTGCTGGATGTTTTACTGGTGAAGCCCAATCATACCATTTTGTATTTTTAGTAACACAAAAACACACACTGTCACAATTTTAATTTCTTCAGTGTCGCCATTTCACTTTTTTTATCTTAAAAAGCCACAAGGTTTGCACTTCAACTAGCAGTGGTTTCATTTCCCATTAATCTGCATCATTCATTTTCCCAAATAATTGCTGATAATTTTCTCTTGATGAACTCATAGTTTAAGTCCTTTGGTATATAAAATACTGCATACGCATAGCACTTATGAATTCAAAAAGTGGCACTTTCTTTCTTTCATACAGTACCACTTATGATAAAATTGTTTTTTATAACTACATCTGCCGCTTACAGTACATTAGTTTTATGTGTTGATGGTACTAAATGTTTTTATGTTAAGACTTAAGTCTATTAGTAGTGCAAAACCTACAACCACGCTGACCAACAGGCGGTGAAAAGCTGCCACGTGGGTCAAATGGACCACAGATGGTTTCATATCAAATTATAGAAAAATGATCGCGCACGTAGTGAGTGTGTATTTTCTCAGGCTCAAGGAAAACACGCATGATATAAAAGGAGGGAATGAGCTCCCATGTGCTGCTCACTGAGTTTTTGCGAGTCTACCCGTTCTTTGCGTCTGCTGGTGCGTCTGACTCCTCTGATTCTAGTTAATGGTTCCCAGCTGCGGTTTAGACATGTTGCGTGTGTGCGTGCGCCTTGTTTGTCTTCTCATAAGTGGTCTCCATGCCTCCAGCGGCTATTTAAGGCTTGCCGTTCCTCTGTCTGATTGGCTGACTCGGGACAGTTGCCCCCGACACGTCTGATGGGGAGGCAAGAGAACGAGGGCATAAGGATCCTTTTCCGTGTAAAACGAGCGGTTTGCTATGTGTTGACTTCCAAACGCCTCCTCTGGTCCGAATACTTCTGCACTGTGCTTGAGAAACCCTGGCAGGGACCAGACTGTCGGGTGTGTGAAATTCAGCTCAGGCAGCAGTGAAAGTCTCGTATCTGATCGGCACCGCGAGCCAGCCATGACCCACGGACCCCCCAAACTAAATAACTAAATAATGCAAAAAGCATGTCGGGATTCAGTCTGTCGGCCTCGCGTACGTTTAAGTATTTGCCTGAGAGGAAGATCTGCTGCCTAAGCACTGCGCCGTGATTGCACAGTTGAGTTTACTTAACGGCAGATGAGCCAATTCAGAAGAAGTGATGTGGCGGCCAATCAATGTGGCTGTCGAACATTGGGACATCTCAGAAGCTACAGCTCAAGGAAAGCAGCACACGATTGCAGATTTCTCATTTCCCTGACGCCTCCACTGGCAGTTCATGTTGGACTCGATTGATCGATTTGATGCTGTGTCTACCTGCAGAGCGACATTGGCCCATTACTCCTTACAAACTGTGTGTATCTGTGTGTGTGTTATATAACTGTATATAACTAAAAATCTGAATATTTTGTCCATTTTGTTTCTGGCTTTCCTCCCCTTATTTATTACTATTCTAATAGAAAAACGTGTCATATGGTAATATCTACCAATATGTTGACTAGAAAATAATACATGACACTGGATGGATTTAGAATCACGCTGTCATTACACCGTTGCTGCAGATGGTTTGGCTGCTAAGTCAATTATTATATATGACTGAACACTTCACTTGTGAATGCAAAAAGCAAGTCGGCGAGTGTGACAGCAGGGTTGTTCACCCTTTCCAGTGTGCATGTCGGAGCAAGTGAGATTCCACGGAAGAGCAGCATCGGTGTGTTTTACGTCCGTCCAACGCTGGGACACAGTTCGGGACGCCGGGGCCTCTGTGAACTCGTCTCTATCGTGGAGGCGTCGGACAACAGCTTCTCCTGACAGTTTGAATCCAGGTGGAGCTCCGATGTGCCGCTTACTCATCAGACGTGTAACCTTGTTAGATGTGGGAGCTTGTGACCCACCAGCACGACGCGCCTCCCCAAGGAAGGAATGTGCTAGAATACGGCGCAATGTGCTGTTAGAGAGCACAACACGAAGGAAGGAAACCAAGAAGTATGTCCTCATGGATAGCGAGGATGAATGTGTTCCTCCGTGTCTTTCACCTTTTGGGCTTCGCATACTTTTATCTTTGTGACCGCTAAATGCCAGGAAGTGCAGTGCTCGTTTGTAATGATGCAAAGGTAATTTAATTGGAATAGGAAAAGTCCAGACTGCGGCAGGGAGACAGAGAGGCCATAATCGAATGAACTGCGTTCACTTTCTTGTCCATTCAATGTGTTCTCCATTTTAAAAAATGAGTAAGGAAAAAAACGTAGACGCGATTGTTTCCGAGCTCGGGGACATTGCTGTTTGTTTTTCCATGATTGTAACTGAGATCACTTTGCCAAGATGAGTTTAGTGCCGAGGGAACGCAGAGAAATAAAACAAGCACATTCGCTCTAAAGGTCGGAACAATAGTGATATTGATCTAAAACGGCTAAATACATCAGCTTCAGGTAGTTGTTACATTACGTACTCCAATCACGATTAATGACATTGTTGACCACGGTTTCCTACGCGGGCGGTGACAGATTTAAGACAACAGTCTAGTCTGCGAGGCGATCTACTGCCTTCAGGTTTGAGGCGTTCTCTCCATTTCCCTCGATCACCTCCTTTTTTTTCTCCGCTGTGGTCTCACGAGGCCCCATCGACCAGCGCCAAGCACCAGCCGCAAGGAGCTGACAAAGAGAAGCCGAGCGGGAGCACCAACAACTCCCCCCCAGTCACACCCCATCAGCAGTCATCTGTCCCCATATACTGTCCTCTGGTCCCCGCCGCCTTTTAATCTTATGCACGGCTCGGACCATCCCCCGCCCCATTAGCGCTCTCCTATTTCCCGCCATTTCCTGCTTCTCGTTTTCCCAACTGTTCGGCAGAGGAATCCAAGCCGCGGCCTTGTGCAATAATAACACACATTACCAACTGTGTCCAGGGCACAATAAGTGTTCTTCTGCTTTTCAGCATTTCACGTTTGTACTTGTGCAGGATTGTTAATGTGTTACTAATCCGCTGAACATAATAACAGACCAATCGTCTCTGTGTGTGTGTGTGTGTCCCTCGTGCTGTAGTTGCGGTGATTGTGCTGCTCCGCTACGCACATGTCATTGAGAAGCACCAGAACTGTGTTCTCAACATGGCGAGTCTCTCCACGGGCTGGATCTGTGCTGCTGGACTCATCATGGTGGGCAACTTTCAGGTACGGTGATCCAATAATAATAATCTCAACATTTGCAGCACATTATGAAATCCAGCAGTAACCGTAGCAGAAGAGCAAAATGATCTGACAAGGCACAGTGAAGAATATATTGCAACATTGAACACAACTGAAGGAACCACATACTGCTTTTTTGTAAAGTAATCTTGTGGCTTTGAAAAGAGGATGAATAAGTTTCACCTTCGATTTAGTTCCACTTTCAGAAACCAGGATGTGATCTTTCACCATATTGAGTTGAATATTTTAGAATTTTCACAGTATTTTTCAACAAAAACCAGACATAAAATTACATTAGCTGGGGTTCAACAACCTTATTACCTCCTGTTTTATGGAGCATATATTTGGACTATGAATCATGAATATAACCTGCAGCGATATTAAAGGAAGCAGGAGTTGCGGAAAAATGCAGAACTGCATGTCATGTCAGCCCTTCCTTCATGAGCTCAATCCTGCACTGCTCTTCCTGGTACTTAAAGTGACAAAATCTAATCTAAATTCTTTCTTCACCTCCTCTTGCTATTTCCCTAGCTTTCTCCCTCCTCCCGCTCCTTAGCTCCTTTTAGCACCGAAAGCACGAGGAAACGGGCGGCCTGACTCCGGAAAAAAGCTTTTCCACTTTTTTGACTTGGTTAATCTGTACAAAAACAACCGTGGTTACACATAAAATCATATATATTATTATTGTACATGACAGAGCTACAGGTGAATTGTTGTATAATGTTTTGTCTCAGAGGAGAATAGACTAAAGTATTAAAAAGCATTGATTTATTATTTTTCGCTATGATGAATGTAATTCATTCTGTATGGACCAAAGATTGGATAAAAATAAATTTCAACAAGGCCTAAAGTGCTGTGGGGATTCTTTCCCTTCTTTGCATAACATTGCACATTTTTAAGGCCTTAAAGTCAGTATAAAAGTTGAATACGGCTTATGGGACTCGTTGTTTTAGGATTTTTCCCCCATCAGTAAATAAGGCGGATGTTGGCACAGGAGGTGTGTTGTAAACGGATGGACGTAAATCGTTTCAAGTAATGCCGTTTGTTTCATTTTCCACAAAGTGAAAGTGAGCTTAGTGATTGTCAGTTGGCTTGTCACCACACACTCGCACCCACTGTCCCCCGTGCCCACCTGACTTTACATCACCCGACACACAAGCATTCAAAGTGCAGCTCAAGTAGTAATTTGAGATGTTTTATTGCGCATGCATAAACCTATTCTGCCTCCTCTCGAGAGATTGTCTCAGAATGACAGTGAACGGTTATTTGAAAAGTTTCCCCCCACGTGTTAAGAATATGAGCGATGAAGGTGCACACGACGTGGACTTTTAGCTCTATCACATTTCGGCAGACGCTCAGAGACGTGTGCTTTCCAAATGATGGAGTGCAGCCGCAGTGAAAACATACTTGAAGTAGAACAGGAAAGGCTTGAAACCCCCATCAGCCGTCAGATGGATAGAATCTAGGACACGGCGCGTCACACCGTGGAGTGTTTTGTTGACCGCTACTTGACGTGGCTTACAGAGAACTCATTTTTTCATTACACATTAATCTTCCTTTTGTCCATAAAATATCTGAAAATGTTTTTTAAAGCCAAGAAAACTTTTCCTCTTTTTTTCCAAACATCCTCATTGAAAAACTCACAGATTAGTACTTTGTACAAGCACCACTTTGCCACAACTGGATGTGGGTTTAAAACATCACTTAGAATAACAAGGAACCAGAGGAGCAAGACATCTGGTTGTTGTTTGTATGTGTGAGTGTGTTTTTCCATTACAGAGTATAGTGACAAACAAATTGGCTCAAATACAACACCAAGACCCCCACAGAGCCAGTTTGATGCAGTAGAAGAGATAAGGTTTTGTAGCAGCCACTTTGACAAGAAACCCGCTGGACTGAAATAGAAACCCCCCCCGAGAACACCGCTTTTTGATCAAACACATTGAAGTCTGCGAAAGGCCTCGCTCTGTTTTTTTTTTTAAATTTCCCAGCCTCACTCCCAGATGTGGAGATGTCTCAGACGGACCCGAAAAAACACTTTTATTTGCTGTGTGTGCTTTGTCATATTAAATTGTCTGGCAATCTTACACCGTCACTTCTGGGATAAGCCGACTGCACAAGAATGTTCAGCATGTACTTGCTGGTTCAACGGACAAATGGCTCAAAACCCCCCAAACTAAATAACTTCTAGGCTTTTGCTCTAATGATCCCTGAGAGTTACTTGGAGCAGAGTAACAACCACAAGGTGTCAGCCAAGAAAATTATTGGCTCTCTTATCTGTTCTGTGTGTGTGTGTGTGTGTGTGTGTGTGTGTGTGGGGGGGGTCACATGCTCCTGAGCAGTTTCTTATTGTACTTGTGACCAGCGGCGATAAGAAGGCATTCTTTAGCGTGGCTCGCTGCTGTTGTCTACTTCCCATCACCCATCTCCTTTCAAGTCATTCTTGTTGGCCCTTAACTGAGATATGTTTTTGGTGGCTTTTGGTCAAAGTATTGCACAACAATGACTAATCAGCTTGACGCGGAAGCTGTCGGACGTTCCCACCCGCCTCCTCTTTGATCGTTCCCACGTTTTAAATAAAGCCTGCTGCCAAAGGGCGGCTTCAGTGTATTCTTTGTCTGACCCGTTGTAACCCCCGTGTCTCCCCGGTCTCTTTTCTCCATATGACAGGTGGATAATGCCAAAGTTCTCCACTATGTCGGAGCAGGCATCGCCTTCCCCACCGGTATGCTGTTTGTGTCCCTGCAGTCGGCACTGACTTACCGCCTCGCCAAGACCCAGGGGGAGTACAACGTGGCCCACCTCCGGCTCGGCATGACCCTGCTGGCCTTCGTGGCCTTGGTGCTCAGTATCCTCTGTAGCCACGAACAGATGGCCGCCTTCGAGGCTGTCAAGTGCTTTAGGAGAGAGCGCGGCGCATTAGGAAGGAGGAATCTCCCTCACGTTGTATCACAACTACGGTTTCCCTCCAGTATTCAACGTCAGATCCAGTATTTCTTGCTGTGAGCCATGTTTTACGGCTATAGGTGAAAAGATGTATAGCAGAGATGGTGCATATATGTTAGTCACTGCTGTGATGAGTCAAATCTGCTAATGCGCTTTCCTGCTAATAGGTAGATGACGATATTGGTTAGTTGATTCATAACACGCTATTCTCACTCTTAAGTTGCACTCTATCTAAGATATATAAAATACTCCTGACAAAAGCCACTAATATTGAGACACCGCCCTCGTGCTGCAGTCTTTCTTTTTGAAAGGTGCCATTTTTAAAATTTCATAATGAGAACCTTTTCTTATTCCATATATTGTATTTAGTCAATGTTTGAAGGTTTGCACTCTGAGGCAGTCTACACACGGGCTGCATGCTGAGGCCTCACTGCTTGGCCGTTGTCCTTAACCACCTTCTCAGGCGGCGTGTTTTTCTGTCAGGAGAGCTTCGTCCTTCAACACGCATCGGCCATCTTCGAGTGGGTCTTCTGCGTCATCGTCATGCTGTTTTACGGCACCTTCGCCTTTGAGTTTGCCGGCGTGTCGTCGGACACCATGTTGGTGCTGGCCAGGGGGACCCTGGGACCGGCTGGGAAAGAACACAAATTGGACCAAGTGGGATCACTGGGAGGGCCAGTTTTACACGCTCATTCGCAGCCACATCAGCACCAACCCGAGAACATGTCCATCCTCTAGACCGCGGGCTCTTCTCGCCTACGCAGTCGGCTCGTTCATTTCTTTCAAACTGGTTGTCAAAAGAGTTCATCATTTCCAGCCGCATATCCGTCGGAGAACGGGCCGGCGCGGTGGACGCTCATGGCCGAGTTGATCCTACTTTTCCCACCCGGGGGGCTGTGGGCGGGGGGGGTTTGGTATACCTGCTGCCGTCACAGTGGAGTGTTAAGTTTGTGTTGCACTCACCTCAGAGCTCAGTGTCTTCTCAAGAGCTTTGTTTGTATTTTGCACATTGCACAAGTGTGAAACCAAAATTCTCTCCCAACTCAGTCCTTTGACCAGCAGAAGGGTACTTAGTGAATCAGATTAAGAAACGTTTCCCCCCCCCCCCCCCTCCCACGGCCCGTTTCTCCTCGAGGCGACAGCCGCGGTTCTTCAGCGTACGTAAGGAGTCAAGCTGTTGAGATATGCGAGAGGGAGTGTTACAGTAGGAGCAAAGTCAGGCGCATTTTCCAACGAGAGAATTGTATAAATGCACTAAATTTAAGAGAAAAGGTGTCAAAGGTTAAGTATATAAATGTCTTTTTCAATTGTGGAGGGAAAGAACAGAGCAGCGCTCTGCGTTTGGCAAACTTTCAAACTGGTGTTAAGCAATATTTTTTATACAAACAAATCCCTGAGAATAATAATAATCACTCTACATTCTGTGGATCGTAGCTGCTTGAGCGTCTCTTGTGTTATTCAGGTAAGCGAACCGTCTGCTACTTTGTCACCAAAGTGAAGAGATTGTTCGATACTAGACAGTTTGGCGAGCTGGAGACTTTTTTCCCTCAGGAGTTGTTTAGCCGAGACTAAAAGGAAAGTGAATATTGGATCCATCAGCTCTGCATCTGATGGATGTGTAGGAAATGTTTTAGGAAGCCGAGCAAATAGTCATTTTGTGTCACTTGCTGTTGTGGGTTGAATTGCATACAGAAAAGACTAAAGACCTGGTGGCTCATTAAGTCTAACCGTTATCACATGATGTCTCTCTGTTAGGATAAATGCACTCGAACAACCGTAAACCTCCAAAGGATTCAACTTTCTCTCTAGAGCTCTACTTAAGTATACGAAAGAGAGACGAAACAATGTCCAGAGGCCAAACGCGCACCAGCTAATTCAAGCCAGAGCACTGTGGTTTATTGAGTTTAGGGAGGAGGCATCACACACACGTTTCCAGGTCCTATGGACGCAGGTCTGCATCTCAGCATCTCCTGTGAGTGCCACATCTACCAAAGCAGATGGTTTCTCACTACCAATTCATTTACATTGAAACTTGGTCCCTGTGCCTTTATTGACTTCCTCTTACTTACTCATACCGAGTATTGCTAATTTTTATTTGGATTGTTCAACATCTCTGTGTAATAGTAACACATTCCGAGCTCTCTGGTGGGGGGAAAAAAGGCGCAAGCGGAGGGTTTTACAACCGTTGGAGTCTTGTTAGAATGCGTCTATGCACGGAAAATATTACTCCCACATACCACCAGCGGTCACATGTGGGGCAGAGTTTTACAGTCTGGTATCAACGCGGAACAGCTTGTGCAGACTGGAACGAGCTGGAGGGTGGAAACCCCACTCTGCCTCGCCCTGCTGGTCAAACGGCTTATTGCGTTTTGAGCTGTAATGTCACTGTTTTCCAACTGAAACCTTTTTGTTTCTACAGCGGTGAATGTTCAGCCAGGTTGAGGCCAAATGAGCTTTAGTTTTACTTTGAGATGTATAAAGAAAATTGAACAAAGTCCTGCCGATGACTTGACCTCCTGCGTGTGCTTCTGCATCAGGTTCAGCTGTGATCTTCAGAATTTTCTTCCAGACATTCCTTATAAGTGGAACGTGGCCTTGTGACCATACAGTACCTTTACCAAATGCATTCCTCTTAAAAAGTCCTGGTCTGAACGGTTTATGCATGTTTAAGAAGCAACTCGTACCGCCCTGGTTTCCAGTTGAACATTACAGAAATGTCTTGAAATCCTCCGATTTGTCCGTCCGGTGTCCTTCTCATCATGTCATATCAACCGCTCTACCTTCTGTGCTCTTTCTTTCCACATTTACTGATCTGTCTGACCTCTTGACTCAGGAAAATGTTACGACACCAGCTATCTGCATTGTTTGAGTCGGCCTTCTGTTGTCTTCGTTTCAATGGCATTTGTTCAATTAACGGCGATTTGCTCTGCTGTGTTTTGCTTAATATAAGTGATTAGCCATGACGTAATAGATTACTTTTGTTAATCAAGAGTCCGTAATGCTGAAAAATAAACCTTCCTGTATATCTTGTCAGAATGCTTATGCTGCTCTCACCAACGTGGTTAAATATCTGCAGGAATCTCCCTCACGCAGTCAGTAGTGGTTGGTGAAAGCATTCTGACAAATTAGCAGCTGCAACTAAAAAATGCTCACTATGTGCCTTATATATTATTTTGATAAAGAAAACCAAAGAGGTTTAAGTTGTATATTATATTTTGATGAAAAGTAATGATTGTGAGTCCATCTATATCTATATATATATATATAAATGCCTTAATGTTCAACAAATAAAACTGTTTAAAATAACTCCATGTATGTTGCTCCATGTAATGCACGCAAGCCGTCAACACAACTCTTAATTTCTTTCATTTCCTTCATTGATAGTCCAGTTTATCCACCAATAGAGTTAACAGGACACATTAAATAGACAAACTAAATACCCTACTTATAGCCTAGAAACACTCCCCTATTTATGTACTATTTTATTACATTTGACATATTATGGACTGGATGGTTTATTTTATATTGAATAGTCAATGACCTTTTTTTTATCAACATGCTATACTGATTTTTCATGACCGTTTCTACATGCCATGACCTTTTTTTCATTATACTGTTTACATTTTGAAAAGATACTATACTATTACTCATTTAATGACTTTCTTTTATACACTTTTTTTCTAGTAGTATGTTGAAAATGGTCATAAGAGTTAGTATAACATGTAGAAAAAAATCACAGGGTAGTATTGAAAGTCATGCCAAGTATCTATTAAGAAATGAATACATTTCTAAAATAGTATGGTTCCTAAAGATAAAAAAAATCATACAATAGTATGTTTTAAATAAAAGTCATGAAGAAAAGTCAAACATCAGTAAATGAAAAGAATACTGTGGTATAGGAGGACTTGAAAATATGGAAAAGTCGCACTTTGTTATGATGCTGAGAATGTCTTAAAGATAAATTAGAAAGTATGTTGTAAACATCTGGAAATGTGACTGGGATAGTGCTTTAGAAAAAATGTAATTGTAATAGTCAAACTACAGCATGTGATAAAATTAATAATAAGTTAAAAACAAATGTGGGGGGCATAAAATAAATAGCACACATCACTCTAAGCTTGCATATTGTGGATTGGGCCACACGATACATTTTTAATTGTCTTTATTGTTTAATTATTTACACTGTGGTTTCTCTGCCAACAAAGTTGACAGAAGATCAACACATGAAATAGAGTAAAACCTCTTTTATAAAAACAATGTTGCACCGGTTGTTACACCACAATTCCTAAACACCCACAGACATGACATTTTAAGATGAATACTGCTCACAATCCCACTTCCATTCAGAATGTAAGAATCTTAGTAAATACTTTAAATTACGCAATCTTGAAAGCTGACTTAAAATAACATTTTCTAAATGCTTTGTTCTCGATTTCTTCCACTAAATCCAAGTGGAAGGATCTCAATCTACAATAAGGAGCTGCAACGTAACAATACACATTGAGTAAAACTTTTAACCCCATACGAGATATATAAGTATATCTGCATCTAAACCAAGGTATTCTGTCAGATATTTATTCAACATAGGCTTATAACATTGTTCAAATGCAGCAATTCTAAGACATTTGCAGGGCTGTAGATGCTTTATTCTCAACAGCATACAGTTTGGTAATCCACTGCAGAGAGCAAAGAGAGAAGAAGCTACAAGTAATTTGTTAAAATAAGCAACATCTACTGACAGTCCTGCAGGCAAAAAAAAGAAGATACAAATCAGCGACCAAAAAATATAAGCAGCTTGTTATTGAAATAAAGCACTTAATAAAGACCAGATAGCAACACTAGACTGCACGGCAATTTTTTGTTGTATAACGTGATTGTAACAACTTCCTAGAACACTAATTACAAAATGAACGTAGAAAAGTATATTTGCAGTCATGATTAGTGTTACTGTAATCAGGTGAATACGAGTCAGAGAAAGAGATGTGCGTGGTCCTAAGAGGATGCAAGAGCATGCGCGGCCACCTTCGTTCAATACTTTCCCCCTCTGGTGAAATTGGAAAAAACGGCAATAAATGCCAAGCACAAGACGGTAAGCTCCTCAGTGTGCATCCTCTATTTTGGCTTTTAATGTGCAGCAATGTATAATACAGTGTGGTGACGGTAAATATCAATCAGCAGGTGTGGTGTTTATTAAAATATCTCCACTGGTCTCATAGTCTGGTAACCTGACGTGATCAGTTATGGTCAGTAGGTCTGCATCCTGCAACTGTAGCAGCCTGATGTCCCCTTTAACATCCATGTCTTGTTCCCTTCTGATGCTGCAGGGATGTAATGAACTAAAATAATGTTATTCTTATTATTTAAAATGTATCATCTGTCACCTCAAGCCAAGCCTTTGGTGGCGCAACAATTGCTTTGATATTGACAGAAAAGTCACTCCTGAAATACTTGCTGTTGTCAAAGACCAGAATACTGGTCACGTAAATGAATATTCACACACTCACAGCTCTGAGGTAAAACACTGTTTGTAGTGCGGTAGATTATCTTAAGATAATTATATTCTAGATCATCATATACCAATAATTGGTTATATAATGAGGAGGGGAGGTTGACTGGTTACTGAGATGCCTCCACAATGTGTCTCTACTCATTGGAGAGATATGTCCCATCACGTGATATGTCCTACTGCTTCAACCAGTTGAGCCTATCATTATTCTTTTTGTGGCTTTACTTCTTCCTATTAAAAAATGCCTCATCAGTTCTTATCAGAGTGAAAAGTCTCATGTAGCCTCTAGATCGGGTCAAACAGGACGAGCAGGTGAAAGAATTTAGTACACAAGCTTTTTGGGCATCTCCCAAGTAAACTCTGGTCGACCAAAGTGACCGTAAGAGGCCGTCTGCTGGTAGATCGGCCTCTTCAGATTCAGTTCCCTAGAGAGGACACAGAAGAAATGCAACATCAGAATTTGTAACGGCCCGAATAATTTACCAGTGTGTGCGCTAAGACAATGGTCTTTTATTAGTTTTATGGTGAATGAACATCCCTTTCGGTACTGGATTAGCTGAAGGTAAACAGTTATTTCAATTTGCATGACAATTAATGAACACTATGTCATGTTTTAAAGCATTGCAGCTTGAATACTTGAATTCGTGATTCAATTCTTCTCCCAAAGCAGTGAAATTGAAGATTACATCAATATCTGTCCAAAATGTCAATCGTTTGAATCCTATTAAACATTTGTGTGAAAAAAGGCCCAAAATAAGCCTTGACTTGATCTCCGTGACAAGGACACAGATGTCAGATCATCATTACCTGACGATGACTCCTGGCCGCAGATCAAAGTTCTTGTTGACGATCTGGAGGAGCTCCGACTCTGTTTTCTTGGATGAGCCGTAGGTGAACACGGAGATGGACAGAGGTTGGGCCACTCCGATGGCATAAGACACCTAGAACACACACACAGGTAGATAGAAATAGTTCCATCAGCTTGTTGATGCCTCAAACGCAGGTCTTCTCGCCCACTTGTGGTGTTGGGATGGGTGAACGGTTGCCACTGTGCTCACCTGAACTAGAACTCTCCTGCACAGTTTGGCTTTGACTAGAGACTTGGCCACCCAGCGAGCAGCGTAGGCAGCCGATCGGTCCACCTTCGAGAAGTCTTTGCCGGAGAAAGCTCCGCCACCGTGAGCGCCCCACCCTCCGTACGTGTCCACGATGATCTTCCTGCCTGTCACACCAGCGTCGCCCTGTTGGCCCGCAGAAGAGAGGATGAGCCAAAATCTGGGACAAGTTTCTCATTTTTTTCTAGATGAAATGCACAGCTGGTTTGTGACGGTCACCTGAGGTCCTCCGATGACGAAGCGACCGCTGGGCTGCAGGTGGTAGATGGTCTTATCATCCAAATACTTAGCAGGAACCACGGCTTTGATCACCTGATTGAATAGACGCAGTGGTGAAACCTTCGTTTCCTTAACAAACAGAGTCCAGCAGGTGGAATTATGAGGCTCTACCTTCTCCTTGAGGATTCTCTTCTGCTCCTCCAGAGAAATGCAGTCGTCGTGCTGGACAGAGATCACGATGGTGTGAACTCTCCTGGGGATCACAGCTCCGTTCTTCTGGTCATAATGCACGGTCACCTTTGAGACACAAGAACTCAAAAATCAAAAAAAAAGAGGACACCACGTTGGAATATTTTACAATTACCGAGTTCTTTCCCATTTACCTAATTTCCTCTTGCTGCTTTAGTGACTCAAATAACACTACAGGATAATAATCCTAATCCTATTTGTCTGCATAAAATACACATAAGCCATACCTGTGTTTTAGAGTCTGGACGCAGCCAGGGGATGGCTCCACTACGTCTGAGTTCAGCCATCTTTGAGTTAAGCCTGTGGGCCAAGACGATGGTGAGAGGCATGCACTCCTCGGTCTCATCTGTGGCGTAGCCGAACATCAGACCCTGCAAAGCACAGCGAGATGTAAACTACATAATGACACACATTGTTATCGGCTGGATATATTCATGCAGATAGTTATGTTGATATAAAATGATATGATGAACAAAAAGAGGACTTATCTTCCACACCTACGGAAATGTGTAGTAAATGTGAGTCATAATGTGCCAAACAAACCATGATACTTGACTTATGTCACAATCATCCAGCCCCTCAGTGGACATGAGACAAAGGACACACTGTCCTATTGCAATTGCCGTACCTGGTCTCCAGCTCCCATGTCTTCCTCTTCTCTGTCAATGTGAACTCCCTGAGCAATGTCCGGACTCTGCTGCTCCAGAGCCACCAGCACGTTACACGTCTTATAGTCAAAACCTGTAGAACGAAAGAGAGAGAAACAGACCAGAGGGCAAATCATTTGTATTGTGGTTGCAATTGAAATTACAGCTCGGTAATAACAGCAGGGCAACAGTTTAGTTCTTTGATAATTAAGGTATTAATAAAGTAAAACCATGAAATTACCAAATCAATTACCACGTAAAAAAGAGTAATACGGGGTAAAAAAGAAAGTGTTAGAATGGGGAAATATATGAAGATATAAGGCAAAACTATTTGATTAAAAAAAGGTAATTGATGACATTAATGGATTAATTACCTGATATTAATGAGTTAATATAGATGATTTTTAGATTACTATAAGCCTGATACCATCAAGATCAAATGATAATTCTTGAAAGTACAAAATGTTTTCTTTCTCATATTTTATAAAGATTCCTCATTTCTTTGGTGAGATTTGTTTTTTTTGTCTCACCTTTTTTATAAAATTCTGATCATTTAAATGTTGCACCTAAAATTTACATCCAAATCATCCATTTGCGTTATTTTGTCACCTTTGTCCGAGTTGTCGTAGCCGATGTGTTTGATGGCTTCTCTCACTACCTTCTGGTAGTCCACGTTGGCCCGAGAGGTGATCTCCCCGCAGAGCAGCACCATGCCGGTCTTACACACCGTCTCTGTCAATACAATTAACATGTTATGTGGGCTTTTTATGCCATATCAGAACATTTTGGGACACAGGTGCACATTGGACTCTGATAGTTTGGAAATACCATTTGCAAACACATGACAGACCCGATTGCAAATAGTAGCAAATTCACAGGGTTGCTCTCCCGAGTGATCATGTTGTGAAACTCAGAGGTTAATATCGAAAAACGATAAATAAACCTGACAATCCAGATGAGTTCAATTCAGGCCAGAATGGTTTGTTTTCACTAATCTATGTCAAAAATGACCAAATGTTGCCATTTGTCTCACAAATATATTGAGATGATGCTTACATAAACTCTCTCCCCCTCTTTTCCCCCGTAAAAGTGAATTTACGCACCACAGGCAACTTTGGCATCTGGGTCCTGCTTCAGGTGGGCGTCCAGGACGGCATCGCTGATCTGGTCACAAATCTTATCTGTGGAGGAAAACGTAAAAGTATTGAACAAAAAGTTGAGATTCAGGATCGAGATGATGTGATTTGACCGTATAATCCATGATTCAGCGTTTGGAGGATACAGAAATGATCTAGTGTCATATTATAGACATTACATTATAAGTTATTTGAAAGTTTACATATTAATATTCCATATTTAAAGTGTTTAATGTTATCAGTTTGATTGGATTGCAAACATCATAAATATTAGATTGCACTGGCTTGACATGAAGAAAAATATAATTTCAGTGAAATCCAATGAATTGAATTGATTCTTTCCATGTTTACTCAGTTTGACTTTGCAGTTGGTTCACAGTCTGCACCTGAATGATTGTGTAACTTTGATCCCAAAAAAATGGCCACAATCTGTGAGAACTGACCAGATGTGTTATCAAATGAAAACGTTTGTTCAGCAATCTTTCCAACTTCCCAACAACCAAGGCCACAAACACGAGTGAAACAGGGCCTGCAAAGTCAATGTACACTTCATGATCCATTTATATCTAGTAGATATATTCTACCTTTCTATAGTAAATGTGTTCTTCATTCAATAAAAAGTTACATTCAAAAACACATGAAGCTGCCCAACTGGTTGACCAAAGTTACTAATGATTGATTAACCGCAGTGCTTGATATTTTCAACGCTTCCAACACATTGACAACGGTGGTGGGGGTGAGGTGGTCGGTCTAAAAGGAGGAGATTACAGGGTAGATTACATTTTAGCTTGTATCATCAGGTTTTAAGTCGGAACATCTGGGTAATGCTTTTCTTTTAATTTTAGCCGTTTAGTATTTGTACGCAGTATATAAACATAGAATTCCGTATGAAATATATTGCTAATAATCGTACAACAGCCTCCACTTATTGGTTGTCCACAAGAGTAAGACTTGTTCACAAATACAGTAATAAACACTTATACCTATTTAGAAATAGTAGTGTTACAAACCATTTAATTATTTTCCATAATGCTCACTCAAAGTATTGTCAATTGATTTGCTTGAATGAGTCACATCCATCAGCAATCCACACAGAACAGCAAAGGGTCACTTTTAATTAACGTTGTTCAGCATCCCAATTTGAGTGTCAACGTGCCAGTTGTATCCCAGGATAGATTGACACTTTTCCCTCGGCGTGTAACCCTACACCAGCGCGTCAGCCACATCCACCTCCTGCTGCCCATAAGTGAGAGGCGTAAACACGTGTTGCTGTGAATGGAATACCAGCCACGCTTGGTGAGTAAATGCTCAGTACTGTGGAGCTATTTTGGACACGTTGTCCAACTTGCATTGAGTTTAATGCATGTTTCTACAGTTTAGGCAGAAATGTTGAATCAATATTTCACTGTGCTTAGATGAGTAAAGGCCAAATGTGCTTTTCTTTAAAAACCTTTTTAAAATGTCTTTCTTTAACAAATTTATAGAGAAATGTACAGTTAAGACTTTAATTGCTTGCGTCCCTGCGTTGCACACAAGACTCACCTGGATGTCCTTCTCCTACGGACTCCGATGTGAACATGAAAGAGCCCTCGTCCAGTATGTCACTCATTTTGTTTTCTACAGGGAATATTTGCTAGATATTCAGGAAGAAAAGTTTCCTCAGTTCCCTCCAACAAGCAGTCTAAAGGCTGCTTTTTATTCCTGCTGGTTGTTTTTAAGAGATAAATGAAGAAAGAGGCCGACAGCCCCGCAGCCAATACAAAGTCTACCCCACAAAACTCCACGTCCGTGTCCACATGGCCCAATATATATGGTAAAGAGAGCACACAAGCACGCACGCACACACACACACACACAACCCAGCCCCCCTACACACACACACACACACACACACACACACACACACAATCCACTTGTCATGTGAATCCATGGGACAGTCCATTCCAGGGGGGAGTGGACAATGGGAGGGCATTTGCAACTGGAGATAACAGTTTGTTAACCTCTTGTGTACAATATGATGTGTGTCTGTGTCTGTGTGTGTGTTTTTAGTCCTCAACAGCTAAGACATCTCTGATTTAAGGCGCAGGGACATCTTAATTAGGGCCCCCCCCACCCACCTTAACCCAGTGGAACTGCTCTGTCTGCTTGGACTGGGAGGGGGGAGAGGAGGGGGGAGGTTGTTGTTGTCAACTGCAAAAAGCGATGCAATTATTCCCGTTTATTATGTTTCTTATTTAATCACAAAATAATTAAATAAGAAACATAAAATAAATTACATATGGGCTTCAACAATTTTTCCATTTTCTTAATGGCTTAATCATCTAAATATTATTTTAAGCACTGTACTTGAAATAATTATTGCTGGAAGTATTTCAATTACATTTGTACATCACTTAAAATCCAAAACGTAGAGGATAGATATTTTTTACTGTGTTGAGATGGTTCATTTATGTAAAAGTAGAAAGTTACCTTGTTTTCAAATAAAAGTCCTGCATTTGAAATAATAGTTTGTTTGTTTATTATAACATCTCCCTCTGAAATAGAGTAGCACAGAAAACAATGTCAAATTTGTTTCTTCAATACGGTACCATGTAAATAGTTACTTTACAATCACTGGCGATAATTCAAAGATGTGCCTCTTAGCTATCTCGTGGTCTTTAAGGTCACTCTCTTTTCCTGTGTTTCAGTAGAATATCAGCGTATTCTAATATCAGCGAATATCAGCGCTCAGTAGAATATCAGCGTCGGTGTGCAAGTGATGCTCAAACACAGGAGTGCACAAACCACCATGGAGAAACGATGGGACTGTAAACCACACACAGACCGTGCAGCTTTCCATTCGGCTTACAAGCGCTACAGTGATTTCTCTTCATGTCAGTAAGAAACACTTCATCTTCAATTCTCTCTCATCTTACTCCAATTTCAGCTGGTGATGAGTTGACAGGGATGTTAACGAGATCTCAGTAGTGAATATAATACCACTGCTTTAAGCCTCATTTAAATTTAGCCAGGGAAGCAAAAAGCACAATCTACATTAACCAAAGAGGTAATTGAAGAAGCAATTGCATGACAATTTTTCCATCACAACTGAACAAAAACTCAAAAAATGCACATATCACATTATAGTTTTACATACGTTATGCAGAGGTTGTGTGTTTGTCATATTAAACCTAGTACTAATCAGCACCTGCATGCTGTGATAAAAATAAAAGGTCTATCCACTATTCTTTCCCTACTGAACAATCACATCTAGTTAGGAACTAATATGGGTCGAAACCCCAACATACTCCAGATAAACTAACTGTCATTTAGCAAGAAAGCTAGTCAGAAGGAAAGCTAAATGGAAATAATATAGAACAAAGTAATATATGCACATTTTAAATAATTAGATATTGAAATAATCAAAAACAACTGGGTATTAACTTGTAATGAATCTTTATTTTAGAGATACATGAAGCTAGTTAAGCTGTTGCGTTTCATTTTTTTTGCCACAAACAGCTCACTCAAAATAAATGTGTCACACTTTATTTTGCATCTTCTGCATTGCTCTAACACCCTACATATTTAAAAAAAAACTGCTTATGGTTTACAAGAGGACAGAGGTCAGAGGTCAGGGACATCTAAATGCAACAAACATGAACCAGCTTGAACCAAGGAACACATGAACCCGTCCGACGGAACAGTGCGACACCTCTGGGGGATACACCTCCTGTTTATTTTGGCCTGAATACAGTCCATGTGTTTTCAGATTGAAACACTCATTACACCACACTTGTTACTTGAGGCCCTGTGACACTGACTCCTCTCTTAGTTTTGCGTAGATCGCCTCCAAACATTTGTTAATGACTGACCAGGAAAACTCTAACAAGATTGTTCTGGTTACGGTGAAAGATAACTGCTATCAGAGCTTCAATAACATTTCCGCTGGAAGAGGGTGGATATGTTCTGGAGAATTAGGAAGCATATACATACATAATAATGTGATCATCAAATTGTAACTTTTTGACTTTTCTTGATTGTAAAACATAAACTTCCTTGGAAAAAACAGAAACCTGGAAGGGTTTTAATGACTGCAATATTTTCCACATCAGGCCGGATTTCATTTCACTACATATGAAGTGTTAAATCATTCTATAACTCTACATCAAATCCAACATAATCATTGAAATTATTTAACTACAGTATCTGACATTACACATTAAGAAGAAAAAATGAAATAAAGAGAAACTGCACTGTAATCCCACATGGCAGCGACTCCTCCTGCAGTCGGAGGGGCTACATGAAATGTGTATGTCATGTTGTGGCCCCCTTTGCATTCTAATTTAAAAGCAGGGGTTTTGGGCTTTGAGAATTAGTCAAAGTCAAACCTGCCAGAACAGGACGAGATGAATGAACCCCGGCAGAGTCGGCTGGATGTTAGCAGCTGTTTGTCTTTCCCCAGCCACAAGGTCACACAGCTCTGAACTTGTCCGGTTACCAACCAGTTCCATCTGGAAGGCAGTCGCAGCATGAACCTTTATTGAACATTGGGAGATTGTGGCGCATGTACAGCTTGTTACATATTAATGCACGACAGATAATCCCCAACGTCTGTCACCATCATTAGTTTACTGTATGTTTATGACAATATTTATCACATTTGTTCCGTTTTACAGCTTCAGCAACCTTAATTAAGGGTAAGGATCATTCAGTTGTGTTCATATTGGGCTTTCTGTTTGCGTTGATCTGACGTTTTGGTTCTAAAAATGGTTTACAGACTTATCTGGTGTAATTTTGCCATTAAACAATCTTCAATAATATCATTCAGGATATCTCAAAGTATTAGAAATGGATACAGAGGCCATATCAGATTCTCTACTCAAATGAACTCTGACAGTCGTCCTCCCCAATTTGCTCTGATTGGCTTCACTTTTTTCACTTTTTTAATGAGTCAACCAATGCGAGAACACACAAAATGAGGTGGTGTTCCAATCTTCAGCTCTGATTGGCTGTTGGTCCTGCACACTCCCCTCCAGAGCAGCGCCGAGTGTTCTGTATTTCTATGTATGTGTGTGAGAATACCACAGCACAAGCGTCTAATCAGACCAAGCACAGGCTTCACTTGACCCCTGCAGTAATGTGCGTAGCTGTCATGTAGGAACATGTTTTCACACTACATTGAGCAGTCTTATAGAATAAATAATAAAACATCTAGTGGTCATCCATGGTGTATCATGCCTGATCACGTGACCTGACACACTCTATCTCTCACACGCACACACACACACAAACACACGCACACACGAACACACACACACACACACACACACACACACACACACACACACACACACACACACACACACACACAGCCCATCATATTGCCCAGCAGAGCAGCCAGAGGGAGCGCAGCAGCTGGGCTCGTAGTGTCATCCAATGCTGCTTCTATTCCAGCCCTTTTTTTTTGACCCTCAGCACATTCCTTTGAGAACCTGCCACCAATGAGTGAAATATTACCCAGTTCCACTCTAGCGATGCACTCTTATCACTCACATTATGCAGGCGCGATCATGTCACTTGACTTTATTTAAAAGGTGTAATTAAAAAGCAATAAAACTCCCACAAGGCTTAATGTGCGTCGACCCCCATCACACACACACACACTGCACTCGCCTTAAACCCCTCTGACAAAACAAACAAAACAACGCAGGACCCGGCCTGTGTGTGATTGTGATCTGGATACCTCTTTGGCTTAGATGGTTGGATAAGACAACACATTTCACCGTGGGCCCTGAGAGATGTTGCCATTTTTTTGTCAATTTTCTGACAATCTATAGACAAATTATTGAAATGATAAATTGAGAAAACTGTTATCAGAATAATGGAAATAGCTTGTGTCCCTGTATGTCTTGTGTGCAATATTGCTAACCCTCCAGCAGGGGGCGGTCTTGCTCGGTGCCATGACTCACTGAACACTGCAGCAACTTCGGGACTTGCAGAAAAAGACACATTTTACAAAGACGTTTTTATGCTTTAGCAGCAGATACTATAAGACATTCATTGAGTGAAGAGATGTGTATATTTAATATTTCATTCTCAAATGCTGAACCAGAGATGCTGGTTGTTATGTTCATGGATGGTAACAGTTCGGACACAATCAAGGAGACATTTCGAATCTAATAAACATTTAAAAATGTGGTTACATTGCTCTTTAACACAAGCTCCACTCTGCGCCACGCTGAACCTGGTACTGAGGATTGAGATCAACATGAGCCTCGTTTCATAGCCGTCTCTGAGGAATTCCAATTACGTTACGCTCATATTAGAAGGCTTTTGCTGTGATTAGACGGCTTAAGGGTCTGTTGCAAACATCCGATTTCTTCACATTAGCAGCGAGGCACAGGCTGGTGAGTACCCCCTTTTACACTTTTGGTTGACACATTTAACAAACGTTTCCATTCCAAGAGAAATATGCTGATAATCTAGTAAATCAGTTGGCCAAATTAAATCTATGGTTGAAGACAAACAGTCGAGATAAAGACTAATGTGGCAAAAGATCAAAATCCTTTAAAATGTTTACTGAACCAGAAGCGTATTTGAAAGGTGAATCTTGAAAGGTGAAACACGTATGTTATCACTGTAGGTGGCCTGTGGAGTGAGTTTAGGGTCATGGTGAGTGTGACTTCGGTCCTGAAGGAGGTGATCTTGTTCGTTGCCGAGCTCATCAGCTCCGTCACAGACTGGTTCCAGTCTGAACCAGGATGGGCCAAACTAGAAGTGCTGGAGGAAACAGAGCTGAAGACCACTGGAGGGGGTGAGTCTGAAAACAGAAACAAGCCACATCGATACCTTGACTAAAACACATTTTAGCACTTACATTGTACTTTTAATGGCTCTTATCTATAGCAAGTTGTTGTAAATCGGCTTATTTATTGAAATTGCACTTTGTTGTTTCTTGTTCTTTTGAGTTTGTATCCTAATGGTTGAAATGTACTTACTGTATTTATAAGTCGCTTTTGATTAAAAGCGTCTGCTAAATGACATGTAATGTATAATCTTGCAGATATACTATACTTTTGCTTTTGTGTTTCTATTATTCTATTGTAGCTCAAAATGGAAGCACTGTTTGGGGAAACATTACAAACAGGGAACTTGGAAGAACAAATGATTTTAATATTCTAATTTTGAACTAACGAATTTAACTCTCTGAACTTAATAGGATTGGACTCAAACCCATGTTGTCCTTACAAATAACACAGTTCCACATTGTGTTCCACAACCCACATGTGTGACATTAGAATCACCAATGCTCCTTTGTCCCTCTTAGTCCACGAGCGACACACTGCCAAAACTCTGTGGGACAAGACCGGAGCTGTGGTCATGGTTGTACGACGCCCTGGATGTCTATTGTGCAGAGAGGTACAAAATCAGTTTTACCAACTCTGCGGTCACCTAAGTGGTTAACTTTCGTCCCTTCTATTTGATTGTCCCCGTCCGTCCCCCTCCAGGAGGCCGCTGAGCTGTCCTCTCTGAAGGACCAGCTGCAGGATCTTGAAGTCCCTCTGTTCGCCGTGGTAAAGGAAAACCTCGGCAAGGAGCTGGACTGCTTCAAGAAGTACTTCTCTGGGAAGGTCTACGTGGATCAGACGGTCGGCCTTTACACGCGGCTTTAAGGAATTATGTGAAACATGTGGGGACACACAGTTTAAGACAATTAAACTGCCTTCATTTTATCCTCCTAGAGAAATTTCTACGGCCCTAAAGAGAGGTGGATGTTTCTCTCCATGTTCCTGCGTATTGGGGTGTGGAGGAACATCTGGCGAGCATACAGGAGGGGCTTCAGGGGAAACCTAAGAGGTGATGGGCTGGTTTTGGGTGGAGTCTTCGTCATCGGGCCTGGAGATCAGGTAGGCAGGAACTTATATTTTATATAATAAATATTTTTTGACCAGCGTACGTGGATGTTGTGATATTGTGTTTTCTACCCTCAGGGTATTCTACTGGAGCACCGCGAGAAGGAGTTTGGGGATAAAGTGAATATGCTGGCGGTACTCAGAACAGCCCGCAAAATGCAAGACCACGTGGCCAGATAAAATGAATGTGAATTGATGGAAATTTGGAGAGCCATTACATAATAAATGTTGCAGCATGCTTCAATTTGTATTTGTGTATTCTTTAAGCCTAACCCAGTTTTCTCCACTCCATACTGAGCCTCTAACAGACTGTGTTCTACTCAAATTGCATTCGTAAATTGAAATCCTTTCTGGGATATATGTAACGCAATGTCACAACTTTGTGTTTAATATATGTCCCCTTTAACTATGTATTAGACTCACTGTCTGCTGTACTGGCCCTGGTTGTGTGATGGTCTTTAGTGTGTTTTAATGAAGCTCATGAATGAATTGAATTTGTTAAACTCTGCTGAGAGAACAACTCTTATGCTCAAATCTAATCAAACATGTAACTGAACAGCCATTAAACGCATTTTGTGTTTGCTATGCAACAAACCACTTAACTAATCATGCTAGTTGCTGGAGAAGTAGTATCTGTATATGTACCTGTGAATGCACCTCGTTTAGATCGTTTTCGATCCTGAAACGTCCTGGACACCCATCTCACTCGATTAGCTGGCCTGCTCCTCCGATCGTTTAGTTACGCCTGCGCCGAAACCTGTTTACAAAGCGTTCGTTTAAAGAGGCGCAGCGCGTCGCTTCAGTGACTCCGGTGAGTGTTTCGCTATTACACAACCATCCCGTTCACTTCATGTCAAGTCACAGCCTCTGAACAGGTGCAGTTGACTTAGCAACTCATGCTAACGCCGAGCCCAGACTCCCCCACGGCCCAATGGTGTCGTTAGCCGAGCTACGTGCTGGTTCGTCCCCGTGACAACAGCGTAACTTTGCAGCACAATGAAAGTCCGCGTCGATTATGTAACCATCATGACCGCAACACCTCCAACACGTCAACACGCCCCACTGCTTCGGTTACTGGTATAGAGAGTTAGTTTGCTGAGCCGCTGGGTGATTGATTACACGTAGATAGTGTGGAGGTCACTCCCTGCATTATTTGCGGTCTTCCTGAAGGTTAATAGGGCGGATACTGGTTCAGCTCGTTTGTCTTTAATAATTATATCATGTGAAGCCATAACAGATCGGGAATAGGGTATCACACCACTGCACGGCAGCTGGACTAATAATAAAAGTAGTTGCACATTAATGGCAAAGTGCGAATCAATGTAGCGCCGGACGGACAGAGGTCATCGCTGATCAAAAGGTTAAAATCAAATGTATTTAATAAAATAGATGGCGTTGTGGTAAAAAGAACATCTCAGCTGAGGAGCCGCTGGTCTCAGCAACCAACAGGCCCCAGGTCAGTCCTTTGACCATCCCTAGTGCCCGTCTGTTCCTCCACCAGCGAACTCCAGAACAATGGTTCCTACAGGTATTTATAACAATGCTTAAAGGTGTGAAAGTTAGTGACCACACCTCTGGGAGTGGTCTTCTGGTGAGTTCAATGTAACTCGGATTTCGAATGATCCTTAGTCAATATCAGTTGTTGTGCAAGTATTACATGCATGCATTCCAGTTGATTACATTAAATACAATCATAACTGCATTGGTATTATTCTATTACAGTTGCAGAATTACAGTGGTTTTACAATATTGTCATTACTTTATTGATTACACAGTTTCAGAATCATGGCTGTATTCTGGTTTACACTATATGCATTTTTATTAATTTTATGAACCGGGTCGTACATTTGTTTCTAATATCCTACAGTTGGCTGGCAGTAATCACTGAGCCTGCTTATAAAGAAAGCTTTGTTCAGTGTTTGATGGACATAAAGCAACGAGCACTGATGCATTGAAACTCAAATCCCCCCTCAGGCAACAAGAGGGTTAAAAGCTACTAATAAATTACCTTCTACAGATCGAAATATTAACATACATCAGTGATGTTATTGCATTATTATAAAAGATGCATTTACATCTCTGTAGCATTTTAAAGTTGTTTTAAGTATTTTCCACATTGTCATTGAGTAGTTAAATCTATGACTATGACATCATCATATTTCTGAAGGTAATCATTGATGAAAATTCCGTTTGAGGTGGAGGTGATTGTGTAATTATGTTTTTGTAAGCCGATCATGCCTTGTATCAAAAGTCCAAATCAAAGTGGTGGCAGAGAAGAAGAATCTAAAATACTCAAGTAAAATAGCTCAAAAACCACAGCAGTGCAGGTTCCTTTCAAAGCCTCAGGCGTGATCCTTCTGCCCAGCACCGTGCGGGCATCTCTTTATGCATGACACACCATTATCTTTATTCATTAGAATTTCCTGATTGTGTTAACATTACATTACATTAGTACCTGACACTACCAGTGCTGACAGCTAGTCTCACTGCTCAGAGACAGTCAAGGCTTTGCTTGAGTTGCAGGCGTGGCCATCTGTCTCTATTGGCTGCTGCTGTGATCATTTTTTTCATTTTTCATTGGGCTTCTCAAGTGTCGCAACACAAATGCATTTGGGGGATTTGCTTTTTGAAACTGGATGAGCCTAATCTCTGCAGAATAACGATTGCTTTGCCTTCTTGGAAATAGAGACAAGTTAGTATATGGCTTTAATTCTTACTTTTCATATACCTGCAAGTGTGGTAATTTATCAATTCTCTGCTTATTCATTTCTCTGTGTAACTGTTGACTGTGATTTACCATATGCAGTGTTTCCACTAGATGTACTACCTTGCAGGAGCAAACTTGTTCAATGGTAGGGGAAACACTGGTATGTGTTGACAGCATGCCAGAGCTTTGTGTGCATATAGGAAGTGTGTTTGCCAATGGACTGTCATACCCCAGTAAGACTAGTAAGATAAGAATCAAACCTCTTACACTTGCTCTTTTGTTTTGATATTGCAAAGTCCTCAGGGTGAGTAATACATTCCTATTTTAAGCGTTGAACTTGCCTGCCTAGTTTGACTCTATTTATCTGGGCATTTTAATCATGAAGAAAAAATCCTGCAAGTCTGTAAACTCACAATTCAGCACGACAAAGCTGGCTTAACTTTCAGAGAGAACACTTGTGTTTATTTCTTTCAGGGAGATCTTGAGGGTGTTTGTAGTCAGGGGGGGTCAGTCATTTTCCACGCTCCCGATGCTCTCCAGCTGTTCGACAGCTCTGAGGTGGCGACTGCGCCTCTCTCTGGCGGGCACGACCATGAGCAGCCAGCCATCAGCCGCAGCCTGGCCCCAGTTACTAAGAACGCCCGCCGCTCGGTTTCACCAAAGTAACGCCAGGCCTGAGCCAAACAAGCCTCCTTCAGGCAAGCACATATTCGACTGCCTTCACAGCTGGCCGTTACCGACCGGGATTTGAACTTCAGATGTGTTTTATCAGCCGTGACCTGTGCACGGGGTTTCTCTGCCTTGCACCCACTTCATGACACTGAGGGGTGTTAGGAAAGTAGCAATGTAAAATGGTTTCATAGGAGCTATGGGTAACCTTTTGTGAATTGAACTTACTGTACATAACATTACATTTAATCAATTCATTAATTGACAAGTAAAATAACTCAAACTGAATATCCTTGGATTTTATTTTTAAGTTGATGACCAAAAATATGTCGCTTTTATTTCCAGGACCGTTGAAAAGAAATGAATTGACAGATTAATTTACTAGTGAAAAAATAATTAATTTACTAATAAAAAAACTAGTCACAGCCCTGCAATTATAATCAAACACAATGGGAAGACAACAATAAACATAAAGTTAGCAGCCCGAGTTGCTCATTAAGAAACAAGCATTTAAATTCAACATCTACAAACTGGTTATCTCTTTGTGTGGGACAGACTACAGCCTACCTAATTTAAAAGTATGTGAGCTATTTCATGTCCCAGATAAGCTGTTTATGAGTCCAGTGATAAGAATCTACTTTGGATACAGCACGCTTCCCTCAAACGCAAGACAGAATCGGCAGGCCTGGTCCTGTCGCTCTCAGTGTTGGAGGTTTGAGGTCTCCTTCTGTAAGAAATGAGAGGAAAGGAAAATGCAACCCACCCATCCTATAGGAAATGTAAAAAAAACTCTGCAAACACTGTATTTTTCCAAAGCTAACAATGTCTACGTCTCACTATGAGCATGTGTGAGATGACTGGCACATTTCCCTCCGTGCTGCAGTGCTGTCCTCTGTGTCCGAGCTGGAGGGCGGGCTGTTCGGGATGGGGATGTGGTCGCTGGGTCTGGGTGCGGTCGGAGCCGCGCTTGCCGGGATCTTCTTGGCCAACACTGACCTTTGCCTTCCTAAAGCCGCTAGTGCGTCACTGGAGAACCTCGAAGACGCTGACCTGCGCTCCACCAGAGATGGTGCGTAACTTTTCTGATTCACTGGAATTATGTTGTATGTTTCTATACATTGCGAATGCACTGAATGAGGGATTTAAGACAAAGCTGCTTTCTCAAATCTGCTGGTATTACAGATTAGATCCCGGTAAAGGTCTTCGTCCAAAGCTAAAGTTATTGTGACACAGTCGGATGTGTGACCATGAACATTTCTCCTTTTCTCTCTTTGGAGGCTACATCTTTTATCTTCCAGGCGTGAGATTACAACTTTTGTATTTCTGATAAAACCCATGGCATTTTTTGTGCTTTCTTTTGTCGTGCCTTGTTTTAGAAACCGCTTGTTCTTTTTTTCTCATCAGGCGACAACGTCATTAAAGGAAGGAGCCTGTGGGACAAGAACGGGGCCGTGGTCATGGCCGTACGACGCCCTGGATGATTTTTGTGCAGAGAGGTGACACAAAATGTTTCCCAACAACCTCAATGTTGAGGGTGTTGCAATGTGAACAGCGTGTGTGTGTGTGTGTGTGTGAGTGTGTGAGTGATAGCTACCCTGATGGTATCCCTCTCTCTCTCTCTCTCTCTCTCTCTCTCTCTCTCTCTCTCTCTCTGCCGCTGCAGGAGGCCTCTGGGCTGTCCTCTCTGAAGCCCCAGCTGGAAGAGCTCGGGGTCCCTCTGGTCGCTGTGGTGAAGGAGGATGTGGGCACAGAGATCCGGGACTTCCGACCGCACTTCGCCGGGGACATCTTCATAGATGAAAAGGTTAGCAGGGGAAGATAATATACGATTCCTCCAGAGCCACTGTTACTCTTCCTCCTCGCGACCTGTACGAGCATTACTCCTAAAATACCCTGCAGGCACATACTGCCAATGATAACCTGACCTAACAGAAACAGTAAGAAACAAGCTGACCAACAATTATAGACTAACAAAATTGTTGCTAATTATTTTTCTGTTCATTGACAAACTGTTTCAGCTCTTGTGAGATTAATATTTGAGGTGTGGATCTCATAAATAATTAATGGAGGATTCATTTGCTGCTAGCCTGCTTGTTCAATGACCAATTATCATATTTTATTTAATGATCCAAGAATGGGAGTAGACTAGTAATCATTAGTTATGCTGTAAAAGAGGAAATGAGTCACGTGACTTTAAGTTGCTCCTCAGCGTTCCTGCTGTCATCTGCCAACGCTTGACTTCAGAGTTGACAAATAAGGTTCTGGATTCATTTCAGCGGTTACGGTCAAATATATCGGACTGAAACTTAACTGTGCGATTTGTAGAAGAGCTTCTACGGCCCGCTGCAGAGAAAGATGGGCGGCCTGGGCTTCATTCGCCTCGGGGTCTGGCAGAACTTCATGCGGGCCTGGAGGTCAGGTTACCAGGGCAACATGAACGGCGAGGGCTTCATCCTGGGCGGAGTGTTTGTCTTCGGAGCAGGAAACCAGGCAAGCATAACTGGAATACTCGTGAAGATTTGGCTCAGCAGAGCTTTATAAAGCTGTATTTAACCGTGTGTTGTGTTTTCAGGGGATTCTCCTGGAACACCGGGAGAAGGAGTTTGGCGATAAAGTGCAGATCGCTGATGTTTTAGAGGCTGTTAAGAAGATTGTACCTGCAAAATAAGCCTCCCGCATAAAAAAAGTCTTTCAAAAAGGTTCCCTTAATTAGATTAAAAAATAACTGCAGTCAAAGTCCGTCCATCACTACAAACTAACATTTATGTCGTTACTGTCTGATATCACAACATACCTCTACATTGGTTCAGTACAAAGCTGATGTAATTTCAGGATTTGCCAACGATTATACCTCTGCAGACACCTCGCAGCTATTGATTTTAAGACGGGTATTAAAAAAAAAAGGTAGTAAGGGACTTATATTCAAAGGTCACTTTAAATCTGTCTTATAGAGACAAGACAAATTACTCTAAAGTCTCAACTCATTTGTAACAACGTTAGTATGCGTTGTCTTTGTCCGCTTCTCGTGGTCAGGCACCCGAAGGGGCCTCCAACATGGCGGAGCAGTGTGTGTGCGGTCTGTGTGTGTGTTAATGACAACTTGAATCCAAACTCAACATTGAGAGGAGCAGGTTTGATGCTCAATCACATCCAGGTCCACCTGCTGTCGCCATGTGGACGCCTTGTGGACGCCATGTGGACGCCATGCTCCCTGAAGAGATGTGTACCTGTGCACCAATAATAAAGAAAGAATACCTCAATCACATATCTTCATTGTGCTCAATGTTTCTGAGACTATTCTGTATTTAAATGTTTCTACCAACTCTTTTGGATGTTTTTGTATCTGTAGTAGAAGTTCTTTGCGGATTGAGCAAAGAAAAATACAATAGTATGTAAGTTCTCAGCATCCATGTCCTGCAACATGAAAGTTACAACTGGTCTTTCAGGATTGTTTTCCATGCATTTATATCCAAGCTTCTTACAGGTGCAAACGTCCACTTTAAATGATTTAGATGGATGTGAGATTTAAAAAGAAATGACTACAATGTGTAATTATGTATTAATTCCAGAAAATATCAATTTAAATACAAGCACAATTGCATGCACCCCTTTTTTTTAGCAATAGTTCAATGTCTTATTAGTTGATCATTGTGAGGTGTGCATCTGCACTTGACACAAAGCTAAATAAATAAGAGGCAAAAGTAGCAGCGCTTAGTCATCTGGTTCGTCATCTGGGTTCCTCACACTTCCTTATTGAACAACACGTCTTATCGGACTTCTTTTGAAGTCCTTCCCCCATCTTTTGATCAAGGGGATGATAATCTATTCAGAAAACATTTAGAAACATACAATGTTTAATGTTGTTGAATTAAGAAGGCAAATTTCGGACTTCAACATTTTATTCTAACGCTCTGAGTAAAATACATCCCACATCAAGGAAATATATTTAAATCACAATACAAAATAGATGGAGAAAACACTGCACCGACACTGACAGATCTGTGTCTGTGTGTGTGTGTGTGTGTGTGTGTGTGTGTAACATTCATGGAGTGTTAAACATAACAGATTGTCTCTTCATTTGTGCCATCAATATCCAATAAGATTCTACAGTTTCTTAATTCACTAAATTATTGGGTTTTCAACCAGGGCGTCAAAATCCACCGGTGTTATGTGAAATTCTGTTTACCGATCAATAAATTGCTATAATAAACTGTTTTAGTGGAGATGCTTTGCATTGTTTTCAATACATTTGGTATGTTTTTGAGAGTAACACTGACAAAAATGAGAACCACTTCTGTTTAAATAAAAGGTGAGAGAAGCCTGGAAAAGGGAACATACATTGAAGCTGAAACAAAGAGATCATACGCTGCAGTTTCCTTATTCTCAATCCTGTCCAGTTCATACCCGTCTCATCTTTGGCTCGATCTACGGGTGCAACGTGTTACAGTCCCAAGCTGAGGTTCACGTTTTCAAATGTATTTAAAATGCTGACCAAAACGTTCATATTTGTTCTTGACACTTTAGCGCGACACAAAGAAAAAAGAAGAAGCTAATGCGGAAGCAGCTTGGGTACGAGCCACGAAAACCACCAGACATTGAATAGATTATCAACTATCAGTACGTTCAGTCAACATCATTCAGCACCATTAATGAAAACAATCTTCAATACAAACAATCTTCGGAAGCTCCACTTCAGGCAGCAACAGAAATCCATCTGGCTCCAACTGCAGCACCGCAAAAGGTTATATAGTGGAGTTTCACCCTTAGCGGGGAAAAAGGCCCAAACACAACACGATAAGGTCGTCCTAATGATGCAGCCAAATGCCAAATGCAACTCTGAAGCACTGTCCTGCAGTGCGTTGATTGTGTCTTTGTGTGAGGGAGGCGAGGGACTCAAACAGGAGCTGTTGTCGGGGGCCTCAGTGTTCAAATGACAATAGCAACGTGAAACGTTTCATTCCAAAATAAGCCCAATCATTTAAAAAAAAAAAAAAAAAAGAATACAAAAACCTTCACATTGTCATACAGAAGCCAGGAGCCGTATGAAAACAGGAATTGGGTCGCATGTGTTTATAGAAATGGTCTGTCTGTGGTATGACATATAAACACAATCATCTGTATGCAAGTTGGCAACAGTGCAGTTGCTACAGTCCCTCAACACACACACAGTCTACTTAAAATATACGTTCAACTTCAAATTTCTGAAACACAATCTCGAGTGACTACAGAAGCTGGGTGGAGGTGAATTTAAGTTTGAACATCGTTACTGTGAAGTAATATTTTTTTTTTTGAGCAACACTCACGAAGCATGACTTTGCACAAACATGGAATCATAGCCGGTAGCGTGCGACTGTGTCCGCTGTAACAGGTTAAGTGCTCTTGTAGTACGAGCAGCTGACATTGTCCTCCGATGCTTATGGTGAGCCAGGTGAAGTTAGAGGCCCTAACATTCTTTATGCATATGTGCTCAGTAACATATAAATGATATATATATATAAGAAAAAATATACTTATTCTTGCATAATCCACAGAAACAGCACAGGGATGAATACAGCGGACATGATCTCACAATCATCACTAAGTGAACAGTCATCTGCTTATGCAACAATCTGAATTACTCTCATCAGAGAAGTTCAAACTCAACACCACAACAAAGACTACGCACAGTTACCCGCTAATACATGGAAATAAGCGTTTAGTATTTTGACTTTGCAACTTAACGTCAGCTACTTTCATTTGGTACAATCAGACATCAGTGGCTCTGATGCAAACCGTAGTTTTTCATATGGTTATGCTTGTTGCATAAAAACAACCCTGTATGTCTGACTTTAAAGAAATTAAATTAGACAAAGCAAAAGCATATTCCTCCACATGGCAACTTCCAAAGAAGCACCAACCACAACAATAATGTTTCATCAATATGCCACTATATCTAGCGACTGCACCAGGTGATAACTCTCAAAAGGAAAAGAGGCCTTTAAAAACAAGCCAACGCTGTCATGGCAACAGTACACGTTCATGATGATAAATAGCACACCCCATGATCACGGATGTGCTCTATGGCTGTGCTTTGGGAGCTTTTTGCAGTATCATTTCTCCATATCGTCTTCGCCACGTTGTACCTAGCGCCTCATTTACCTTGTCTATGGATATTTAGGAGTAGAAGTACACTTCACCGCTGAAGAGAGCAAAAAGCTGTTAACAAGGAGTATGACAAACAGCTGGACTATTCAAAGATAATTAAGTAAACTACAACAGGGAGCAAAAAAGGGGGAATTGAATAGGTGGAGATAATTTCCATATACCTTAGTGAGTATGCAATAGCTTCAAATATCACTTTTACTAGCCGGGAATTGAAAATCGGAATATAAATGGAAAGAGGCAGCTACAAGCCCCGAAAACAAAATGACATTCAAAGAGCAACTACACAAACGCTTTACAAGCACAAGCCTTCACTGAAGGCTGGAGTGACAAATAATTAACCGTTAACTTGAATGCAACATGAAATATTAGAAACTGAAACACAAACCATGTGCTGCCTCGCTAAAGGCAGTTTCGACCAAAGGAAGACATGAAACCCACAACACAGTAATAACAAATGAAAAACAGGAGTCAGGTTTTCTTTTACAAGAAGTGCCATCTATGTACGGTGAGAAAAGTCAGTGATCGTCCTGCCATTTTTGTTTTCCCTTCAGTCAACACCCTACCCCGCTTACAATTGGAGCAGCTCCGTGCATATATATATATATATTCAAAAAAAAGACAACAAAAATAAATTTGCCTATCTTTCCCTCCTACCTGTGCCCACAGCACACCGGATTTGTATAGCATGTGTGTGCGTCTTTGTCTCGTGCGTGTGAATGTTGATGTGTTGGCTGGTCCTACAGGCCCTTGTTGAAGTAGACGGTGGTGGTGTTGGGACTGTTCTGTCGTATGCTCTCCTGCAGGTTCTCCTCCAGCCCGCTCACACTCATGGAGCTGCAAAGAGATGGTTGAACATGATTAGAAACGCTGCCGACATGTTAGACAGCACTGCGTGTACAAGTCTGACCGCCTTTTCCTCCGAGGAGAGCGCGTGCGTGCGTGGCTGTCTGTACCTTTTCTGTGGGAAGAGGGCGCAGCACAAAGGAGTTGCGAACACCAGGCTGCGAAACAAGAGGTGCAGACGGGAGGTTTTAGACGGTGTCACTCACCTTTGCAAAGGACAGATAATAGAGTCCATTGTGTGTCATTTACTCACCACAAACCGACGAGCCCCACCTGGACCGGAGCGTTGAGAATTGGAAACCGCTACGGGGCGAAAAAGTCAAGTTCAACATTGTCTGCGTGGATATAACAATGTATGTGTAACATGTGAAAAGAAGCAGGGCCCCTTTCAACCTCACACGAAACGGACCAAGCAGACCCTGTTAACCCACTGACAAAAAACAACAACAAAAGGATGAGAACCATGCATGCAGCCTCCTTACCTTCAAGAAGGCTTTCTTCTCCAGTGAATTCATTATTACAGGGGGAATGGCTGTAAAAGGAAAACATAATATAAATCAGGCGAAGTGTTCCACTTAATGAAAGGACATTTCTAACGTAAGTAGGCTTTGTATGCGTCATAGGGAGAGTCATAGAGAGTTTTTATCTCTCACGCCATAAACAACTGTGCGGTTTTAGACCCACAGATAAATAAATACAGTAGATAACGTTGCCATTACCCATGGCTGGCACCGCCATCCCGATCCTGGACACCACCACCTGCACAATGGCCTGCTTGGCAGCATTGGCAGACTCTCCCAACCGGTTTCCATTCTCATCCATCACAGGGATGCCGTACTTCAACTCCCTGCAGGAGACAAAGCACTGAAGTCATGTGGAGCAGCAGCTGTCCAGAGCTCCTGAGAGTAGGCGAAGCAGAGGGAAACGGCTTTCGCCGAGACCTCACCTCTGTCTCATGAAGGGAATGTTGATGCAGTTAGCAGCAGCGACAGCAGCAAAGGGGACAAACCGGCTGGCGATCGGCGGCAGACGCTGCAAAGGCGCAGAATCGAGAACATGTTTAGACAGGAAATCTCTGCACAAATATATGAATAGATATTCAGATCATTGATCTGCATTGGTTTACTCCATCGGATTATTCACTTGAATCAACGAGCATTACCGAAGCTAGAGACTTGAGGCCCAGGGCCGTGACCACAGCTCCAGTAGTTGCACTGACGTAGGCTACACCCAGTTGACTGTGAGGGACGAGAGAAGAGCGGATGCATTCACACATTGACGACCACTTCCTTTTCAACATTTGCACATATCATCATACGGTCTGTGGGTGACAATCAGGTAAAGTAAAGTAGAACCATTCAAAGTAGAGTTGCCTCAGTGTGCAAACTCATACTTTGTTTACATATGCCAAGGCAAAAAAGGAAGATCGTCACCGGAACATTTATCAGACATGCTTTGTACATACGAATACGCATTTGCAAACCCCTTATTATTCATTCATGCATGCATGGATTTGATGCATTTTTGCAGGATATATCCCGCGATACAATGAAAAGAGTATGTACATGCAAGTTGCGCATGACCCGAAACAGGAAGCATAAAACCTATATCGGCATGAATGGTGAATGGTTGAGTGAGGCTGAACGTGCTTGAACTGTGGAACGTAATACCGCTGTGAGGGAAGAGGAGAGGACAGCAGATCCCACAGCCTCCTTACAGACACTAGTTTAGAGGGAAGACAGCAAAGATCTAGAGTGGAAGCGAAGTGAGAAGTCCTCCCTACTTCACGGTCATAGGGGCGTCTCCACTGCGGTTGGTGTAGTTGACGACAGCGTTGAAGGACTGGTTAACCCACTGCCAGAACACCACAGCCGGAGTTGTCCTGTAAATAAGAAGGGACAACCGTGCGATGGAGGAAGTGAGACAATGTGCAGCATGAACTACAATATTTGGCATTGTGGCAAAAAAAGGTTTGTCATGGTCGAGCGCACGACGCACCAACACTCTACTGTCTCCAGTCCACGCAATGTAACACATGCAGAACATGCGTTATAGTAAGCTTGCTCTATGGAACCTCAATTATTACCTATTTTACTCAAGTATTTAAAGCCCAGATGTTAAAAGTTGGTAAAGTTTCCATTTTGGAAAAATGTTGTTATTGACACTTTACATGTAACACATCCTTCATCCACGCTGCTGTTAAGCAGTGAAACATTCTGCATTTATACTCTGTCCCTTTAGGATTATATTACATTACATTACAGGTCATTTAGCCGACGCTTTTATCCAAAGCGACTTGCATCACATTTTCAACCCATGGCTTTTACATTTTGCCCGGGGAGCAATTAGGGGTTAGGTGTCTTGCTCAGGGACACTTCAACATGGGACATGGGGCAGCCAGGACTCAGACCACCAACCTTTTGGTTCCCAGCGTACCCTCTCTACCCCTGTGCCACAACAACCCCTTAGAGGTCGACCCATTAAAATAGGGTTTTGAATTAAGTACAAGTGTTTGTATTTTCTTGTGTTGGATAAACAAGAAGACGCTTTGCCTTGTCTTTATTTCTTTAGCTATTTTGTAGTATTTGGGCAAACATATGCAAAATGAAAAGAGTCATACTTTGGCCCCCTCCAGTGGTAGTCTGCTAAAGTGACAACAGATATCCTATTGATTACTTGTCTAATCCCAAAGTAATAGATCCTAACATTACATTAAATACATGTTAAATAAATCAACATGACATTAAGGAATAATTAATAAATATGGAACAATGTTAAGTCATTTAATTTCCATGAAGTATCAATATGAATATTATTCAACACTATTATTTTGCCTACTTTTGTAATAACCTTTTCCATTTCAAAAGGTCTCTTTCTGAAAGCCTGGATTGCAAATTTAAATGAGACTAAATGATTTATTAACTTTAGATTAACTACTTTTAAATCGCCTTGATAAATACTTCAAATCGTTACATTGATTACTTTTGCGGTCAATCAATTGATTGTATTACATCAACATAAACACCTGTTCACTGTCCTCTCAGCTGCCATATAATTATATTCAGCAGTGAGAGAGGTTTCTATTCTTTAAGAGGATTTCCCTCTGTGCACAGATTAAAATCTCTATTTCCACGCAGTGTTTGTACTCTGCATTACATTTAAACCAAATGGAAACTGCATCACATTGAGCACATTTCTGTTTCTGTACCTGTAGAAGGTGAGCATGGAGCCCGTGATGGACATGTTCATCGGCACCTGAGCAGACATCCGGCCGATCACAAACATCTTCTCTCCTGTGTCGGGGTGGAAGGCGGAGTCGTAGATGTACTTGGCCCTCCAGAGCTCGTCCTCTGTTAGACCAGGCTTAGCGATCCCAGATCTGAAGAGGTCAGAACAGTGGGGGGTGAACATGTGTTTTGATTTTGGAAAACAAAACGTAAACACTCATTTCCCACATCCCCTAAAATACGATGAACTGATTTCAGCGTAAATGGCACAACTGGCCACATCCCCTCTCATTTGCATTCATGACTCACTAGCTCTCTAACATGATAATGTGCACACATACTCTATCCTCCGGTCTCCTGAACCTCTACCTGTAGTTCTCCATGGTCACTCGGGCCTCCTCCAAAGTCTCAGAGGACAGCAGGACGTTCCTAGGATCTGTGACCATGAAGAAGTGCTTGGCGCGCCCCATAAATGTGCTTTGGTCCCATCTTGGCTCCTTGATGTTTATGTTGAGGGACAGCTCTTCAGACATCCTGTAGTCCTTTAAACAACAGCAGACATGTTGATCAGTATTCACACTATGTTACATGTGAATACATGCGAGTACATGTGCAGCATTTCGAGAGCTTTTCAGAGGAATCTTGACAATGTTGTCAGACCAGATAGATAAACAATCAAGGACGATGTGCTGTGCTGCAAGGCTGGGAGAGTAGATCACACCACGATCACAATGTTCAGGCCTTGACAAGAACGGAACTACTCTCTGGTTATCTACAAACTAAACATAACGTCCCCTCAACGCGAGGCAACATCTGACACGTTCAATTGCAAAGACACAATCGCAGAAATATTTTCCTGAACGTATAAAACAAGTTCCGATTGTCCAGGTGGTCTCGTGATACCCTTTAATCCTTAAAGCCAAACAGACGTGACGTTTGATGTCACATGAAAAGTAACTGGTAATGGAAATAGCATGTGACACACACACACACGGCACGCCCCGGGGTCTCCGTTTAGGTTGGTTTCCAGTCAGCTAGCTAGCTAGCAAGGCAGCTGATGTTAAGATGGAAACACACACACACACACACACACACACATTAGATTTTTTTTAAATGCTGAAAACGGATAATAGAATCTAATCAAATTCCCACAACATCATATGTTATCATAAGCTAAAAAACGGCATTAAATCCACTTCACTGCGGTCTAACGTTTAGATAAACTAACAACCAGTCAGCTAGCTAGGTAACGTTAGTTTACAAGCTAACTGATATGCTAGCTAACACTTTAGTTAACGTCATAACGCCGCACATTGAGGCGATGAAAACACTGACTTAGTCGAACTGTGCTTTATCCTTTTTATTCATTAAAGATGTGAATCATCACATCAATCAGACGTACCTGGTTGGCTTTCTTTTTCAAAAATGTATGACCTCTCAATATCACAACGCCACTGTGGTCCTATGCTGCGTTTTAGTGCAGTTACAAGTATCGTAAAATAGATATTCGTTGCAATTGACAGGGGGGTAAACAGGGAATCTTCTGTTGGCATACAAAACTATTTTTATGTTTTATGTATTATTTTCTGTTATCATATACTACATTCTGTGGATATGTTATTCTGTTTTTTTTTACATATAAACTGAGGATGCAATACTACCTTCTGTTGAACAAAACACTAATGCTCATTCGGCTACTTATTAATATTAACGATACATATGAAATTGGGTGTACACACTTTACATGGCTCTGTTGCAATTAAGTTGAGTTGCAATTAATCGCAACTTTTACTTTTTCACCAAGTCCCTTGGCCGCAGTGAAACTGGATTTTAGAAAATCGGAGCTTCATGTAGGATATTGAAGGCAGCACCAAGCAGTGACGTCGTGGGGGCGTTGTTCGTCGTGGAGGACACTGGGCGTGGACGGTAGACAACACATGATTGGTCAAGAAACAGCTGACTGGCCCCAGTATGTGTAGTTCACAGGAATCGGCCGAGCAAAAGTCATAGCATTTTCTGGAATACGACAACACCCTTAAATGATTATGCGTAAGAGAGTTTTGTAAAGGTTAAGGAGAATACGTGTAATGGATAGTTTGAATAATACAATATTAATATATAATACAATATTTCCATTCTAATTTATTTGATTAAATACATCAAACTGTATGTATTCCTTGGTGAAACAGTACCTATTCAAAAAGTGGCAGAGCTAATACAAGAATGCCTAGTGTTATCATGGAGGATTACTGAAAGGGCACATGCCCAGGGGACCCAAAGTGAAAGACACCCCCCCCCCCCCCCTTCCCTAAGAAAAAATCAATCAAAGAAGTATAAACCAGGCTCACATTGAGCACAAAGAGACAAAACAAAAAACTACAAGGTGACACAAAACAACCACAAAAAGACAGAATGACTACAAATAGAGACAAACATACAAGGCAACCTAAATAATAAGGGAAACCACTAAACACAAAATAACCTTGATGAACAACACAGCAATTACAAAGAGACTTAAAACCACAGTTAGATGCATGATAACTGTACAAATAGATACAAAACAAAATAACAAGAGGCTAAAAATAATAAAAAATATATTCTACTGATATGCAGGAGAGGTAAGGCCTTTCATGTGTGCATGTCTCAGCCCATGGTTGCATTATCTGACAATTAATATGACTGATTAAAATGGAGATTTGGATCTGATCGCCATAGAAATTGTGATGTGACACATCTGACCACCGGGTGGTGTTGTTTACCCACCTCACGGGCAGAGAGAAGCCACTCAGGAAGATCCTCAGATCACTTTCTCGACATGCACCTCGCTGCAGTTTAACGGGGAAAATACGGACTTACTGAACACAATAACGACAAAGTTCCCCGCGGGACCACCCGACGGAGACTCGAAGCAGTGTTATTATATTAGTGCAATTAGTGTGCTTAATCATCATCAGCCCATTGCTAATGGCTGCTGAGCTGCAGAGTCTTATGTAAAAGGATTACACCTCTTAAGACAATAACTGTCACCGGGAGAAACACTGATGGGGCACTAATACTCCGGAGGTGTCCGATTATGCGTCAGCCTGGCGGGTTTGTGCGCGTCTGTCCGAGCTCCTCCGGCCCGACACGGCAGGTAAGGCCCTCATTCGTTGTTTACTTTAGTTTAAAAGGTTTAAACAATGGCACGATGCTGTTTCACATGTGTGTGTGTAACTTTTCAAAGTATCTGCAGGAATCCGTTGGGACTGAAACAAGACGCGTTGCCATGTTACCAAGATGCGTAAACAATGTCAACAAGTATTCAATAGGTTCAGTTAGTTAGTTATGGATGATGAATTAAACTTTACAATTTGTTTAACATGTTGTATCGCTGTCCGTGGTGCTAAATGATAGAAAAACTCCTTCAACAACAACGTCTCTTTTGTTGACATATTCTACTTTATCTTAATTTTATTCAAGGTTATAGGTCATTACTGTATCAACATGAGTTTGAGTTGCTATTATCCCAGCTGGAACTTCTGACATCTCATTACTCATCGCGGCATATAATCCTCACAACAGATATCCATTTAATTAAACATGACCCGAGGGGAATCACCACGCACCGCTGACCCCTCTGCAGACCGGCCGGCAGCCTCTCAGCTGAAGCACCATGTAGATGGAGATGGATTTAGAGGCTGCAAAGGAAACCAGTGGATTACACTTATTTCACCTACAAAAGGAAAGGTCCACAGTTCAAACATGGAGCCCTACTTTTTGCACTTGTTTTGAAATGAATATATAGTTTTTTTTATTCCGTTGTGTTGAGATTATGTAGAACTTTTTCTACGTCACATTTTTGATTTTGGATGTTCTCTTTTTATACGCTTTATCTATGGCCTGGAACTGTTTTTAATGAGGATGGGGGATGTTACCTAGACTGTTTTACAACAACTGATATCAGTCACTTTGGACCAGCAAAAGCGAAACTCCAGTTCCCCACCCAAATTGTTCCTCGCCTCAATTCGCCAACTCGCCCTGCTGCACCAATTCCATCCTGACCGTGGACCACAGGTATCCTCCTGCCTGGATGACTAATGGAGGAATTGCCAGACACGTAGCATGGCTAGCTCCTCTCACGCCTCAGGCTCTAGGGAGATGACAAAGGGAGGGGGGCACCCCCACTCAAACCATGCCGGGGGCTCCCACAGCACTACGCGCTACTTGCTGAAGAAACAGCACCACCACAGAAGCAGGTCCTCCTCGCCGATGGGCAGAGTCATTCTCATCAATGTACCTGTTGATGGTGAGCTCACAGTCCTCTGATACCATGGAGACATACCCTGGGCCATCGGCTGCAGGGGCACATCCGGGACTGTTGTTTAGTCAATCTTAAGCACAAAATATGATGAGAGTTCAGAGCCATTCAAGGTATTATTAATAAAGTAATATATTGTAGATAATAGGGATGAAATAGTTGATTCATTTCTTTTCCGATGAATTGTCAATTATTCATCCACTCATATCAAAACAAGAAGTGATTCTGGTTCTTAAAATAGGAGTATGGTAGCACTCATAGATACCGAACACATGCATGCGAGGATTTGCCATTACGTTAGTCAAATTTTATAACTATTAGATACTTAATATTGATGGCTCAGTTCCCTTTACCCCAAAGATATTGACTATCAAGTATTTCTGCAAAGTATATGGTTTTCATTTGGTTTAAAATGACTCATGAATGACGTTCAGACTGTCTTGTGTTGCAGGAGGAGATGAAAGTGAAGACATTCACGCAGTGACAGTCGACAAGAGCCCAGATGGGCGTCTGGGCTTCAGTGTCCGCGGGGGCTCTGAACATGGACTCGGTATATTTGTCAGCAAGGTGGAGGATGACAGCTCAGCAGGTTATTTGGAACAGTGTCTGTGTGTGTGTGTGTGACTTTGTTTCTCACAGTGATGGCAAGTTTATATTTCAGTGAGCGTTCATCTGGGGTGGCGTGGTCCCCTGTTTCCACGTGGCGTTCAGTGCTGCGCATCACGCTGAGTTCCACCTCTGTCCGCAGCGCTGGCCGGGCTGTCCGTGGGCGATAAGCTGGTGGAGGTGAACGGGGTCAGCCTGGAGAGCATCACCATGAGCAGCGCTGTGAAGGTCCTGACAGGCAACAATAGGCTGCGGATGGTGGTGAGACGGGTGGGCAAGATCCCCGGCATCCGCTACTCCAAGGAGAAGACCACATGGTGAGGCCAAACAGCCGAGAGGGGCTGCTCACTTGTGTGATCGTCAATAAGTCTGCCAGAAAAGATATCAGTAGTTAAATACTCACACTGTAACTAAATATTACCACTGCACTTTGCTCAATTGTTATGTACAGGTCGGACTACAACCTTGTTGTTACCGGCACTGACCTTTGCATGGCCCTTGTATTGTGAATTATTGTCCCTTGACTGTAGCTCACACTGGTTATCGTTCTGCTGGGATATACTGTATCTTGGTTTCATGTGGCAGCAGTGGATGAATTACCTCTGTGACCTTTATGGCTTTTTGATTGACTGAGACTGACAGAGCTAACTGCAGCAGAGGAAGAGAAAGCGGATATAAGACTGTTTTCAGGCGTGCATATGTGTGTGTGTGTGTGTGTATGTGTGTGTGTGTGTGTGTGTGTGTGTGTGTGCAGGGTGGACCTGATTCACCGGCGGATGGTGGTGGAGGAGAGCGGGCGAACACCGTCAGAGGCCAGTTCAGACAGCGCTCTCCGCAGGATCGTACATCTCTTCACCACCTCGGATGACTACTGTTTGGGCTTCAACATTAGAGGAGGCAAAGAGTTCGGACTGGGGATTTATGTTTCTAAGTATGAACCATGTGTGGGTTGAAAATTGTTGCCTTTTTTTCCTCCTGAAGGATGCTGCAGTGTGTGCATGCAGTGGAGCGCAGTGTCCTCGGGCACAAAGGAGAACAGGGTGGCAAATTAGAACACAATAGAATATCACATAATGTGGCATTTGCAGTTTTGTTTTGTTTTGGTCATTGATTCAAAATAACCAGGAAACAATCAGAAAGTTGGGACAGGCAAATTATGTTAATGTTCTCACCATTACAAGAGTTTATAAAACGCTTTGATGAGTTTAGTGTGAATACAATATATATACATTTAGTAAATACTGTATACAGCATAAAACATTCTAAATACGTTTTAGAGTAGATGACATAAAAGTATAACCTAATAAGAGAAAACCGTTAAATAGATATCACCGGTTATATCTGTTATTGTGTACATGACTTATTGTATTTTCTCTTCAGGTTGGACCCGGGCGGACTTGCAGAGCAGCACGGCATCAAGATGGGCGATCAAATCATGGCGGCCAACGGGGTCAGCTTCGATGACATCACCCATAGCAATGCAGTCGAAGTCCTGAAGAGCCACACTCATGTCATGTTGACCATCAGGGTGAGAGACATTTAAATTAAACTTGAGGTGAATTAATAACGAATCTAATGATAAAGTAAAAAGAGAAGAGCAGGCTGCTGGCTTACGGCCCTCGAGTTCTTTATGCACGTCTGTGTACGCATGCACGCGTGCAAGGCCGCGCCGCTTAACCCGTGTCATTTTAGATAAAAGGAATCGTGTATGTGTGTGTGTCTGTGTGTATGAATTGGCACACGTGTATTGTGCAGCGGGTGTGTGAGCGCTCTCTCAGCTCGCTGACATTGCTGCTTGCTCGTTTTACTCCTCTGATCTCAGGTTCCACGTGTGAAGATCGGCCAGGGACGACGTTCATTATTCAAAGGCAGTCAGGGATCAGGTTATAATCAACAGAAAGCTGAAATTTATGTCTTCCCCCTGTCCTGTGTTAGACCCGTTTGTGAGTTACATAGTGTGTAAGGTTGACTTTAGTCACTAAACTGGCCATGCAAGGCTGTAGTTGACAATTAGATGAAACCCTGATACCTAGTTTCTTCCTATTTGACCTCACGCTGTGTTGGTGAGACAAGCCCTTAAAATGGACTTGACATGCAATCGGAAAACAATTCTTAATTCATAATAGCTCCTTTTTCTAAACCTTTGTAAACTAAATACTAAGTGAAATATCAGAGGCTGTGTTGTTGTGCTGTAGGTCTGACTGGACGTAAGTGTCGGCCGTGCGGTTGGACCAACACTGATGACTCACATAAATATCTAACTATTGGACATTGTCATTGTGGATGTTTAGCTCAAAGCTCCGTTCCTGCTGAACATTTTGTGTTTTTAAACTTCAACAGGAAGCTGGCAGATACCCTGCGTACAAGGAGATGGTGGCAGAATATGGCTGGCTCGACAATTGTATGTTGTATTCTAAATTATTATTTTACAAAAGAGAGTTAGTGTAAGATGAATTTTATAAATAGATCCGATTGAAACCGTAGTGTGAAAATAATGACCTACTGTATATAGAACTGAATATTGCAGAATAAATTAATGAAGATTTGACCTTATGATTAGGATTTTTTTTAATCACTATCTCCATGTGGAAAGTTACTTTAATTAATCATATTTACAAAAGTGGAACAGTGGCCATATGTAGCTTGCTTATACATATTCATACGAGTCAAATTTCTATCCGTTTGATACTTCTTAACACAGCTTGATTCACTGAACTCAAACGCAGCTCAGCTGTCTGGAACTCAGCACGACCTGACATCTGGGTCAAGACGCAGAATCATTTTTGAGTTTCTTTTTTAAATGAGGAAGCGGAATAACTCCGGGTTCATGTTCTGTCTGTCAACAGTTGAGAGGATGAACAGGACACGATGGCAGACAAACTCTAGTCCCAAAAAACTGATTGTGCAAAAGAAGGAAATGAAGCTTCACTATGTTACCCTGCAGCTTTTCTCTTTGGGTTTCTGGTGCTCAGATATGACAATTGGACAGTTTTATTCATATTTTTAGACAACAATATTATTCAATTTAATTATGTATTTCTTTTTTCTACAGTGATCAATGGGGGCCTTGCGCCATCCCCCCAGGCTTCAACCTCAAACTCCTCTGCTTCCTCGCTGTCCTCCAGCACCCCTCTCAGCTCCCTCAGTGGTCTCTCCCAGGTCCTTTTCCCACAAGTCTTTGGGTCCGAGATGGTAGACGTCGCAATCGCCACGGAGGGACGATCCAGACGTCAAAGCAGCGCAGAGCAAACGGCCGACACCGCCATACAGACCGACCCCTTCCCTCCAAACCACCCAAACCACCCCTCAACTAATGGGTCGTACCGCGCTGTAGGCGCCACGTTGCTGCTGAAGGACACCGTCATACGAGGGAAAGGGGAAGGCCCGAGGGAGACGGGAGGACGTGGAGACGGAGGGCACCAAGAGGCAGTGAAACACTCACCTAAGACGGCAGCACTGATGGCCCTGAGCAGACCACGGAAGCCGATCAGACGTTCCCAGAGCCACATCACCGTGTCAGGTGAGACCTGCAGGTTCGATGGAAACGTTTAACAGACTTAAAGGGTGTGTAGAGTTTAGGAGTACTTATCGGCAGGAGATTTTCATGGCTATGCTTGAACCTACCTACCGTACCTAGAAAGAGAGAATCACAGCGTTTTTGTTATGAGGCCTTCATACCTCAATAGGGAGCAGGTCCTCCTCGCAGAGTTCACCATGTTACACCACAGGTTTTGGACCAAATATTGGATCTAGCGAGAGAGTTTCCAATACAAACATGTTTGAGGGACGCAAATTCATTTATGAGTCAGGTTGCACTCTGTAGTGTGGCTGTTGGTCGTAGAGGAAGTATCGTCAGAAACAAGGCACAGCCTTTAGCTGAGTGCCTGCATTCCCTGTGTGATGAGATCCTTTCCCAAATCCTCACATATCTTTCTGCAGGCCATCAATCAGTTCAATGCTCCTTCTTCTTTCTATCACTCCGGGGAGTTAACAAGCACATCTAAGCTCCACACGGCTGATTTAACACCCAGAAGAAAATGTATCCAACAGTACAAAGTTCAATGCTCGCTCCTGATGAATCACCGCCCTTTACTCTCAGTTATGATACCTCTGTGAGAAATGAATAACAACAAACACATGGAGAAGTATCTCCTCCAAGCTTTGGCAGGGCTGTTGAGTTATTAGCCTTTCCTTCTCGGTTCATCCAACTCATTCATACCTCCAGGACCTGGCGGGTGCTTGCATTGAAGCTCAGGGCAGATTCCCTATTTGTTATGTGTGCTGGAGCACTTTGCTGTAGTGCCTTCAGGAGATAGGGGTGTGTTCAGGTCAGCCCGGCCGCTATTCATCAGCATTACTGTGTTACTTTCCACGGAGGGAGATTTACTGCAGTGAATAGAGGAGCTGACTGGAAGAGAAATGGACCGTCTGTACTCATAGCGGAGAGAGTGTATCACCCAACGGTTAAGCAAGAACGGGTACGAAGCCCAATGAATTATGTTTTCAGCATCAAACACAGAGGTGTAGAATGTCCTGTTCATGCTATGGCTCAACACCAGCACACACATTTGTGTATGATTTAGTTACTTTTCTTGTTTCCATTCATTAACATGATTTTGCAGCTGTTGAAATTGGTTAAAATCATCGTGTTTCACAGCATTCGGTTGGGAAAATTAATCGGTATTGCTTCTTTTAGAGGGACTTGAATTCCACTTTAGTCCTCCTTTTTTTTCCACCTTTAGAGGACAGTCAAAAAAAGAAGAGAAAACAGAAGGAGAAGAGCTCTGGAGAGGGTGAAACCGGCCTGCAGCGATCGAAAACCTTTGTCAACCTTTTCTTCAAGAAAGACCGTAAAGATAAAAGCCGCTCCAAGTCTCCGTCCCATTCCCACAAAGGTGAGAGATCAATCCCTGGTTTCGTGAGGCGCATTGTTTATTTTCTATGGAAATCTCATGCCGTCCTCAGGTCTTGTTTATTTTTTCTACCCTTGAATTCCTCAGATAAGGAGCGGGGTCGTCCTTTCCAGCTCTTGACCTCCCCGAGGGAATCCCGTGCCGGAGTTAAAGACGGCAGTCTGCCGCCGCGCCCGGAGACACTGCAGCACGTGGAAGACATGGCGAAGAAACTGCTCACCCAGGATGAGGTGGCGGCTGTGATGAGACACTGCCGGCGGGTGAGTTCACCGATCTGAAATGAATACTTCTGACACCTCAGTGACACTGTGTTTCTTTTTCCCCTCCCATTGAAAACCTGTCAAACTACATTTTGGTTTAAGCGTGCAGTATTTTTCCCGTGTTGCCGAGCGTCCTCTAGTGATAGATGTTTCTGGCAGCGGCTGTGAAAAAAGACGGATGTGGCTCGTCGTTTATGATTAGGTTAAAATATCAGCCGTCCTTTGATCCACTCGTCTTATTTGGCCCCATCTCACACTCAGCGGCCAATTTCAGGGGATCCGATTTTAGCAGAAGATATTCTATCTTCTATCTAGCACAGTAAAATACTTCAACCCACTGGAAACAGGAAAACCCTAAAATGTAATAACCATGCAACAAATCAGTGACATCATGCAACATGTATCAATCATGAAAAATGTACAGTCGATGATCGAAATGTAATACTAAAAATGTAGTGTTACATTTTGGGAAAGAAGAATCTGATGGAAATCTTTCACTACAACCAACTGCACTGGTTGGTTCTTCCTGTTCTTCTTTTCCAATGTGTGTCCCAATCTAACCTCGCCTTCAGTTTTTGTCCGACATTGTGATTGAGGATTTGGTGCGTCCCATTCTGGCAATCTTGGACAAGCCAGAGAAACTGCTACTTCTCAGAGAAATAAGGTGAGATATTTCTACTCATAGAATTATGTCTCTATAGACACACTTTTGATATATATGTAACTGATGCTGATCTATATCCTCTGCAGGATGCTGATACCTACTACCGAGCTGGGTCAATTTGACAGCATGGTCATGCCCTTTGAGCTAGAGGCGTACGACATCCTCAAAAGTCGCTCTGGTAGGCAGAGGAATGAAAGATAAAAGATAATTCAGTTGAAAAATTCTGGTAAGATAAAGCATGAAAAAAAGGGATTTGTGGAAAACCAGTGACATATCAAGCCGACTATTTCCTCTCAGTTCGTTCTCCAGCTCTCCGCTCCCCTCGCAGAGGAACCCCCCGACGTCACCTCATCACCCCGATTCCAGGTACATTCACTATTTCTCTCCCTTCCTCTCACCCTTTCTCTTTCGAGACCTCACCTCTGTCTTCTGACACCCTCTCTGTCCGCTTGGTGTCCTCTAATCCAAAACACACACACACACACACACACACACACACACACACACACACACACACACACACACACACACACACACACACACACACACACCTCCCATCCTTATATAAAACACACTTGGCATGCACAAAATATCTCAGGTTTCCTGTGGCTTTGCTGAAGCAGAAGCTTGTGTTACATCTCTGTGGCCAACAGAAAGGACTGAGACGAGCCTGCTGGGTCACTGTGAGATTTCAACTATAAGGAGGTCTTATTATTATTATTATCTTATTATTTTCTTCATTTAAAGGTCGTCGACACAATCAATACAGTCTTACTTAAGATTGACTGTGTCTGCCTCCCTTTCCAAAATTACAAGTTAGGGGTCAACGTTCTTATCATACCTCACATATGTTTTTTTTTGCAAAGAAATGACCAAAATAAGATCCGGTCGTGCGAAGACAGAATAAAGTGAGTTTATCAGAACTCTTTAGCTTGCCATTCATGTCGGTTGGATTAGCAGATGAATGCTTGTGGTGGTTTCTTGAACCGTCCATAGTGAAAGCAATAATCTGTGGAGGAATCTTTTAGATCTTAACTGTGTTGGTGTAATGTTTGTCCAGACTGCAGGGGTGGGTTCCACCTCCAACCGGTCCAGGACAAACTGCGGGAGTTTCAGCTGATCGAGGAGTTGGACAGATTACGTTTGTCCAGCCATCAGTCGGGCCATCTGCCCCCATCGCGCGCTTTCACGCCTCTGCTGGACGTGCCCGTGGACCACCACGGCTCTGCGTACGTGCGCCCCCGCTCCCTGAGCCCCTTACCAACCCGCGGCCTCCACCCCAGCCAATCACCTCACAACGCTCAGCGCGGGCGGCAAACCCGAAGGGAGAACGAGGTGCAGCAGCACGACAAGACGTCCTCGTTGTCGGTGTCCGACCGAGGAGATGCGGCGCCCCAACGAGGGAGGTCGCCTGAGAGGAACGGGCACGGGAGGGCGAGGAGGGAGTTGAGTCCCGACAGCGTGCATGGTGGACGCCGCCGGCAGGAGGGCTACACGGAGGTCAGCGTGCGCGTGCCTTCACAGCGGCGAGGGAGACCCCCTGTGGAGGATTTGTTTCAGGCACCGAGAGACCGGAGTCCATCTACAGGCAGAGAGAGCAGTCAGCGGCTAAATGGACATTCACAACACGGTGTTAAGAGAAGAGCAGCTCGGCCATCTGCAAGCTATGAAATCAACACTTTGACCATCTCTAAGGCCAAGCAGTCACTGGGTGAGTTCTGTGTATGTTTCCCTTTGATTTCAGTTTAATTTATTGATTTCAGTGTGATCTGATTGGCGTGAAACTTTCCATTTGAATGTTTTCATCCTCCCATATCCATTACCTCACCAGTAGAGGTCAGGATGTCACTAAACTGAAGGGAAGACCTAAACCTACAATGATAACTGAAATAGACCAAAGAAAGTAGATAGACACTATTAGCCTTGGTTGAATATATAACAATAGTAAATAAATGAGAATCAGGAAATGCCTCAGGTTGAGATTGTGGTATTTGTTTGTTGTTTACAGGTATTAGTGTATCTGGAGGTATGGAGTCTAGAGTCCAGCCCATGATAAAGATTGAGAAGATCTTCCCAGGTGGAGCTGCATCTACGAATGAGGCTCTCAAGGTGACTTAAATATGGTAGCGACAGGAAGCCACACAAAGTCACCATATCACTAAAAATGCGTGTCGGTTGAATGAAAAAGAATCTAAATAATACAAAATGTTGTTTTTTTTAGCACTGCAAAGGCTGGTAAACACATTGAACATAATGATGCATTATAATAATTATAATAATTTTTGAGAAAGTACTCGTTGTGTAAGAACCCGTCAGGTCCTCTGGTTGTGAGCAGCTGTGGCGATAAGTACGTCTTTCACGGAGAGGTTGAAGATGTGCAATCAGGAGTGCAGGTGAAAAGAGTGGAGAGGCATCTCGAGTGTCCAATCGCCTTGAATATTGATGAAGTACATGGGTGCTGGTCTGCTAATGTATTGGTAATATACCGCCTGCACAGTAACTTAACTTTCATCTGTGATCTTGGCCTGGTCGACTTAGACGCACATGATGACACACACACACACACACACACACACACACACACACACACACACACACACACACACACACACACTCATTCACCACAGACATTTTTGGACACTTGCATTAAGATACTCGAAAGAAGTTTCACAACAGCTAAATACCAAAACCCGGTTCTAATACCTGATTAGAGTGTCAAATGCAACGTGACCAGCATCTTCTCAGACGTTTAAAGTCAATGAACTTACTCTAGAGTGTCTGCAGTCACACACTACCAAGACACACAGATTTAACCCAATGTTGGATCTAGAAGAAAGACATTATGCATTGACAGTGGAAGGAAATGCAGAGATAATAATAAATAATAATAAAGCAGGATGAGTCCAGAGGTCTGTGGGACTGTGCTTAGACACTGTGGTACTTGTGGAGCTGAATGTTAAGATCAGTATCATCACCAACGTATTACAACTTGTCCCGAGGGCAGTATGAAAGTAAAATATCACAAAAACGGAAAAAGTAGATACCAACTCCATAGCTGCTGCAAACCCTTATGCACGTATTAAAGTAAAGCAGAGATTGAGCCTTTATTGCATGTACTACATTATAGAATGTGTTTCACTGACAGACCTGAGCAGAGCCGTGGCTAAACGCCAATGGAGGTAAATAAGAGAATATGGATTTTGGTAGATTTGGTAAAAATGTCTATCCTCCACAATGAGATGCACTACTTAAATTTAAGTATGGATAGATGTCTCCTCATCTTTAGAGACTCCCATCACAATAGATAATACACAGAGACAATATTTCTCCTCTCCTAAATAATCTAGTTGAATTTATGTGTAATGGTTCGGTACATTGTGAACAATTCAAAATCTCCTTAGTTTGCCATTTTCTCTACTTTTACATTAGATTCAAAAGGAAATGATGTTCACCTTAATTTATCACTAAGAGACGTATGACATTCTGATGTAGGGTTTGAAAACTAATTAAAATCTAATTTAATCTCCTCTCTGGTTAAATGGAGCTTAATCTTTTGATACTGTCCTCATGGGAGGCTGGAAGGTTTTAGTTTAACACCAGATTGTGTGATGAGCTGAAAGTGGAACCTCCCCCCATACAAATACATTTAACCTATATTAGATCCAATGTAGAAGTACAAAATAAAGGGGAAACATATGTCTTTGTCTAATCACTGGAAAGGAAAAGGGAAAGGGAAAGTACGCGGTTTGAATACAACAATGGCCATGGGTCTTGTGTGTTTATGTGTTGCTAACCTTCACTGAGGTTGAGCACACGAGACAGGTGCATCCTTGTCAAATGCCGATGACATCAAAGGAAGTTCTTCTCCTCGGTCCATCCTGCAGGAAGCAACGAGAAAACGGTCCCAGCTGTGTGTGTGTGTGTGTGTGTGTGTGTGGTTGTCTCGGTGTATGTTCTTTTTTCAACGAACCTGGTGCTGTAGGGGAAACTTTATATGTGCACTAGTGACGGCCTTCGGTGTGGTTTTACTAAACTAATAGAAAAGCCCCAATTCTCTCTGGCATAAATCAGGTTCCCGCTAAGGGACACAATCAGTGCAGATTCATGGGACAGATTGCTCCAGGAAAAAAAAAAGATTTAGATGGAGAGGAAAACGTACAAAGCCATACGTGATCATGATGTATTAATAACAATCAATCCTATCTCTCCTTGGAGTTTTGCTCGTCTAGCTAATCCCCCCTCTGTTTGCCTTCGCAGGCAGGGGATGAGCTGTTGTCGGTGGACGGCGAGAGTCTGCAAGGAGTGACTCATCAGCACGCAGTGGATGTGATTCGCAGAGCGTTCAGCAACAAGGCCAAAGACCCGATGGTTTTTGTAGTCAAGGTCTCCAAGGTCCCCACCACCACCACCACCCGCCCCAGGAGACCTGCAGACTAACCTTTCGTGTGCCTCACAGTCAGACTGCAGTTCAGGCATGAACGACACAAAAACCTGCAACTGCTGCAGGAGTGAATGAACTATGGGGTCTACTCCAAAAGAGAAGATATTGAAGGAAAGGATGCACAGAAGCATTTATCCTATATAACGCAGAGTTATAACCGTAAATATATCAAAGGGAAAGGTGGACATGTTGAAATAGTTTTATTTGTTTATACAGTTTAACATTACTGATCACTTTTGCTACTTTTTTTGCTTTGTTTTTACTAAATGCACATATTGCACATTAACTGGATCTTGTATGTTTGACGGTAAGATAACGTGGTTCATGAACTCCTCTTTGGTTAAAGTTGTGCAGCTGACACCAGGCAACCTTGGCATGACCTCTGCTGATTGTGGAGCCGGTGTTCTGCCCTTTTCAGCTGGAGCATCTCAGTCCTGCAGCCCCGCAGGCCTGCCAGAGGGAGATTATCTCAGCCTGTGTTATGAGATTTAGAGATTTATACCCAGATTAAAACTCTGTATTATGTCAAAAACTGATAGTTTGGGTTCAGTGGATGTCTGGGGGGATTATTACAAATGCTGCTCAGTATTTGGTGCTGCATGATTCTGGCAGAAGTGCTCGTGCTCTGGAGCAATCCGCCACTTTAGAGGCTTAATTACACCATGCTGTGGCCTGAGCTTATGCAGGCATGTGGAGGAGTTGGAAAAACATCTCAATGAGAAATGCGGGACATGAAGGCCAGTGGCACAATTTAAATCAAAGTAGAGCAGAGGAGATATGGGCTGCTAGTTAACTGGAATCCGTGTGCATAGTGCCTTCCTTCTGCAGATGGCCAGTGTGAGAAAAGAGAATGAATAAATGAAAGAAGGTCAAGGCCTTTGAGTTACAACTAAGTGCTAAAAATTTAAATTCAATTCAAGACTCACACAAGTTAAATCAAGAGTAAATTTAAGGTGTGACAACTTGTTTTTTAATTAAAAACACTTGTACAAGAAATGTACACATAAAAATATACATGGATAACTACCTACATGAATTACTGAAGACACAATGTAAGTTAACACTTAAAAAATGCACACAAAATTATGAGAAAAAAAGAGAAGAAAATGTGTTACGTTGCTTTGGTCTAGTCACAGTGGCTACATTTGATATAGATATTTTGTCTAAATAAAAGACAAAGTCACTCTGTTATACTATTTAGTGTTTTACATATTTACACAGAATCAGTTATTCAACAATGAAGAGAACTGAGATTTGAGGAAAAAGCGGAAGCCCGTACATTTCAGTTTGGTTTGCATCACCTGTATTCATCTGAACCTCATCTGCGTGAATAACAGTCTAGGTCTTGTTAACAAATTAAATATGGTGGGCCAAACCACTTGCTTCAATCAAAGTCACTTCCCATGGCTATGCTCATGTATGCGGGCTTGTAATAATCTACAAAATCCCTCAAACCGCAGTGAATGTGGTAAGGTCATGCAAAATATAGACTGATTGAAATGTGATAATCAAATCTCGGGTTGGATTGAGTTTCCAAGAATAAAAACCATAACACTTTCTTGGTTTGCGTTCACTCTGAACTCAACTTAATGAAGAAGTCAACCAAAAATCACCCGTCTCATGCGTTTATGAATTTAGGACAAGCAAGACCCAAAGATGAAGACATGAATTGGTGCGATATTATGATCCTGACAATCAGATAATTGATCAATCAAAATGGAGCGTCGGCGGTTCAAAACTGAGCCTAAACTAAAAGTTGCCAACTGTTATCAGCTGCAAAGTTTGGTCACTAGAGTTTGTGTCACAGAGATCACATAATACATAAAAACATATTTTCATGCATTACAGTATTAGGTGCACTCTTTCTATGCTGCCGCCTCCATTTATAACTGATCCATCATTTGAAATATTGGTATGTGATATATATATGTACGTACATCGAGGAGTTTTTTATACGTTGTATATTAAACCCACACTTATATCAGTACTACAACAAAATATCTTCAGGTGCTTTATATAGAAAAATATACAACATCTCCATTATATAGATTTCCATTTAACTGTTGTTCCTTGATAAAGACTCTTTGTAAAATAAAAGATCTCAGCCAACTACTTTTTTTCCCCAGAGACCCATCGTGCTCAGTTTTAGCTTTGCGTCTACTGTGAAAAAACAGCTTCAAACATTGACGTGCTCCGCGCCGGCTTATGTTCAGGGCTTTAACAGCCACTCGGCGCCGGCGCTACTGCATCGGCATGTTCTCTCTTCAGCGCTATCTGAACTACCAGCTTCTAAATCTGATACTACAAAGACATGCAGACATGCCAGTCTTGCTACCTGTATAGCAGTCAGTGAAGATTATAGTCCAGTGGGGAAAATAAGATGACTATAAACGTTTTATTTGGCTTTTGGCTGGCAAAAGCTAAATAAAGAGTACTAATGGAAATGAAAGAGAATAAAAGGGATCTCTGAATAAGCATGCCTTTAAATCTCTCAGTGACGACATGACCGAACTAAAAGAATATGCACCATTTCTAGCTTCCTGATACCGACTGCTGACTGTTATAAAAATAGAGTAAAAAGCAGCGATGGAGATGGAAAGAGTGAGCCGATATAGAGACAAACACAGAAATAGAAAGAGAGAGGAGAATCAAGCGCATTGTGGTGATGTCTCCTCATGCAACGGTCTGCTTCCTATCGTGCTACACAATTGTGAAATGCACATGTATGTTTATGTCAGAGCTTGCTGTGTTGTCTGAGATAAAACGCTGGTCGGGTGCGACAGCGTGAACGTTGGTGGTCTAGTAAACAGCAGCGTTTTTCAAACGTTTGGTTTCTGTTTCCTCCTGGTTGGAGAAACCAGTTTAGGATATCTAGATGTCAAAACTGGTGTGTTGTAGTTCGAGGATTTGCTTGTTGTATCACAACCAAAATTGCACGGAAAAGTTCTGCAAACCGCTACTGTGTTTCCCTGGGTGAGCAGATTCTTCAATTGGCCGTGATGACCATTTATCCCGATAACAGTCACCATACATTCTTTGTTTTATGGAAATTTAGCACCAGAAAAGCAATAATCATTTTTAAAATGAAATGAACGCTGATCCTTTAAACACGTTGAAACACAAATAGCACATGTTTGGTGTTTTTTCCCCCTCAGCAGCTGCTGTTGTTGTTGTTTGGCCAGTTGATTAGAGCATCATTAGCAGCCAGCAGCGGTGGCTTTTGATGGGACTGCTGTCATGATGGAGCATTGCATGCTGGTGGCCCGGGTGTTTAACCTTGTGTGCGATCACGAAAGGGGTGACTGCACTTTGATCACACTGCCGTGCCCGCAGTAACATTTTTTTGCTACAAGTTCCCGACTATTTTTGAAACCCTGATTTGATCTGGCGGTCTGTGGGAGAAACGCTATCTTCACAGCTTTAGCTCCGGCAGAAGGGAATAAGTCTTTGTGCTGGCTTTGTAGTGGAGCAAAACCTGTTAAATGTGCCAGAGGGGACACTTTGTATACGGATTTATTGGAGTACGGAAGAAACAATGCACCTTTGGGAGACTTCCCTTTTGACAGTGACAAGTGGTGAGTGCTCACTCAGTGGTCCAGTTGTGGAAGACAGAGCAGTATTTGGCCTGGACTTCAATGTTGGGTTAACGTCCTCAGTCTTTTTCGTGTTGTGTTTCCACGTTCCTGTGCACATACTACGACAAGAGTGTGTGTTAGTGTGATTAGATCTCTGTGGCGGTGATTTCCTCAAAGTGGATGTCGTTGCTGCCACTGTGAACCTCGTAGTCCTCCATGTCCCTGTTCTCCAGCTCTAGACTCAGCTCCCTCATCACTCGCTCGAGATCCCGGTTTCTGCGGTACATCTGGATGTAGTTCTGCTGCAACTGTTTCTGGTAGCGGATCACCTGTGTGGAGGGAATCACGGTAAGTGAGTCAATCAGAAGGAAGGATCAGAGTAAGCTATTTGGTTGTGTGTGACATTGAAAGTTAATCACTAAGAAATACAATACTTTTTACCTTCTCTTTTTCCTCGTGCCACACTCTTCTTTCATCCTCAAAACGGGACAGTTGCTCCTCATTAGTCCTCCTCTCGTACATGAGTTCAGCCTTCAGCCTGTCCACCTGCGAGAGGGAGACGAAATGTTAGAAACTCCACCATTTCAGTGCTGGAAGACATATTTAGTTATTTTACTTGAGTGAAGGTAATACTAATGGAATGTAATAATGGATATTGAGCTTGTACTAAGTAAAAGTACAAGCAGTATTACCAGAGACATGTACTGTTGTGCTTCAAACTGCTACTTATGATGCAGAAAATAAAAAGGAACGTTATCATGCCATCAAATGAAGCTGATCATATTATGTTAGTTAACTATAAGCATGAAATAAATCTAATAGAGGAAAAATTACAGCATTTTCTGTGACATTCGCATGACTCAATAAAAACCGTGTACCTGTTGTCTGAATCCCAGCACTGCTTCTGCATTCTGCCTCTGAGCCTTGGCTTCATCGCTCTCCCCTCCCCACACCACATGGCTCTCCTCCGCATCTCGGTACAAAGACGGGCTGGGACCGCCTCTCCCCGCCATTCCTCTACCCTGTTGGAGGGAGAGGCTCATGCATTGCCCCTTCGTGGTCAGATTTGCAGGTAGAGAGTGCACGCCGTAGTTGGACAGAGTGTCACGGAGGCGGGCTGACTCTTCTTCCAACCGGCCAAGCTTCTCCCGGAGCAGCTCGGCTTCGCTCTTGCGCCTCTGGAGTTCGTTCTCGCAGACCTCCAGCTCCAGAGATCGTGTCCGCAGCGCCGCGGCGGCCTCGTGAGATCGAGCCTGGCTGGCCTGCAGCTCAGAACGCGCTTCTCTCAGCTGGGCCTTCAGCACCACGATGTCTCCGGCCTTCTGGCTGAGCTCGGACTGGATCTCCTTCATCTGCTGCTTCAGGAGGGAGATTTCTCCTGACTTCTGACACACCTAAAGTACCATGAGCAATACAAGTTAGAGGGGTTAGGTGGGAGTGCAGGAAATACAGAACAAATGCGGTCTTATGACAGAATACAAATTTGGTTCCTTGTGAGGTTGATTCAATCCATCTAGGTTTTAACTCTGACACCTTTACTTCAGGGGCACTTTATAATTGTATCAGGAAAACAAACATCCTGTTCCAGACTCAAAATTGCTTTAATCACCTCCACCCAACACCTCTCCAGTCTGACTCACCTCCCACTTTGTCTCTTCCAGACGAGGCCCCAGCTGAGTCTGCTCCCTCTGGATGGTCGCACACCTCCTTTCCAGCGTCTCCCTGTCCTGCAGCAGCGAGGAGAAGTCCTCCTGCAGCTTCTTTTTCTCCTGCTGTAGTTGAAATACCTGACGACACACATCGATACATATTTCACTGAAACATATATGTTGATGTTTGTTAAGACATGCACCATCAAATACGGAATCTCAGACTGAAATAAGAAGTTAAACTCCTTCTTCCTTTAAAAGAGTTTGAAATACCTGTACAGCATACCTGTAACTGTAGCACCTGCTGGGCCCTCTGGGCCTTCTGAGAAGCCTGCTTCATCTTTAATGCACAGCTCTGTCTCAACTCCTCCATCTCTCTTTCACAGCGCCGCTGCTTCTCCTCATACACCTTTCAGAGCAGAAGACACGAGTCAGAGGTCAGAGGTCAATGTTTTATCCGTTCTCTTAAAGGTTATGTGTTCCGACCTGTTTGTTTTGGCGAGTATGTCTTCATGTCTCACCTGGCAGATGGCAGCTTCATTCTCATCCAGATTTTCCCTGAGCTGCTGCAGCTCCAGGTCTCGTTCCCTCAGCTTCTCCTCCAGCTCCCTCACCACGGCCTCGTAGCCCTCCACCAGCGGCGGCGAGTGGCCGCACGACCCGCTGTCCGACAGCGGCTGCCCGCGCCCGCTTAGCGACCCGGAGCCTGTGCTCTTGCTGGATGAGGAACGTCCACTGTCTGAGTTGGTGTGGCCGTGGCTCCCACTCGCACCTGAAGTGTTTCGGCCCAAGCCCGGCGCGGGCTCCAGCTGCACCCCGGAAGAGCCCGAGCCCTCGCTGGGCGCCAGACTGTAGCCTGTGCTGCTGTGAGTAGGCAGGCTGGAGAGCGAGTTCCTCCCGGAATCCGACATGGAGTACGACTGGCTGCCCCGTGCATTACGGCCTCCGCTGTAGGAGTTGCGTTTCCCTTCAGAGCCGGAGCTGCTGCTCCCTCCGATGCCGTTTGCGCCGGCGCCGCCGCCGTTGGACCCTGCGAGCGGCAGCAGGAGGTTGAGGCTGGCCTGGCTCTCCGTCAGGCTGCCTCCAGGCCGCGGTAACAAGTAGTGCACAGAGTGACGATTCTTGGGGATGACAGGTTTGAATGCCGTAGGACGAATCAGCACTTTCTCCATGTTCTGAAAGTATGTCCATAAAAAAAACATTATGATTAAAAAAAGCTCGGGAGCGTTAATTAGCACCGTGTCATTAGAGAGCGGCGAGTGGCAGGTCACCCCTCCAGTCTCTGGTTTGTTTAATGTGGTTTAATTGATATTCTTGAGCAATTTTCTTAATGATTTAACCTGATATATGGAGGGACAAGCAAGAGAGGGAGGGGATTAAAGGGCAGAGAAACAAATAGGAGGGAGAATATTGGAGCTCCTTGTATGTTCTGTAAGCATTTCTCTTAGCGATCTTCCTTGTGGTTCAACTAGTGAATGTAAGCAAGGATCGTGATGTTTCTGCGAGGTGAGTGGCTGTCAAATGATCCGTCAGAGCCAAGAGGCCAGTCATTCACTTCTAAATATAATCAGAAGTACTCTTTTTGCCTACGTGTTTACTTTTCATCAGATTGTATCAGCAAACCGTTCACATGAAGCACAATCTGTCATCGCTCAACTGATTTTTTAAAGCAGATATTGACATTAATATTAATAACTTTAAACAGATTTTCCATTACAGATCTGTTTTCTGTGACCTCAAAGCTGCTTTTTTGCTATGATTCTTGTAACTTATCGGCCAACATATACACTGAAATGTCTGCAATCAGCGGAGTATATCTGCCTGACCGATCGGTCCAGCTCTTCAGTCTGCTCCTCTTACCTTCTCTAACTGCCCCGACACAGGGATGAGTTTGGGAGGAGGCCCTCCAATGTTGCCGGTCCTGCTGTCCCTTTGGTCCTCTGAGTCGCTGCAGGGGCTCGCGGTTGCTTCTACAGAGTTGTCTTTCCATTCTCCGATCACCACCTCGTCGCTCACAAAGCCCAAGTTTCCATTAGTCGCCACTCCAGCGGGCGCTCCGCCGCTCGCCCCAGCAGAGTTACCGGGCCGGGGCTGCTTCTTGGTGGGCAGCGGCGGGGGAAGAACCTCGGCCTGGGGAAGCGTTTGGTTGCTGATAACCAGCAGCTGCTCCAGGGAGCTGCCGCTGCGCAGGGTGTCGTCCTGGAGCCGGAAGCAGCTGGTGGCCGGCGTGGAGCGACGAGACTTGGCGGTGAACTCGCTGGCGGCCCGGCAGTGCCTCTCCTGATACGTTCGGCCCGATACGAGGCTGCTGACGGAACCCATGGCGATCCCGGAGCTGCAGGGCCCACAGGGGCCGGGGCAGGGGCCCGACGGGGAGTGGGATGATAGAGGCCGGCACTGCTGCACGTCGAGACCTGGATTCTGGTGCTCAGTCGCGGTCACAGGCAACGCCTGAACCAAAGCCATGGCAACCCGACGGTGGCAGACACACCACACACTCTGAGAGAGAAAATGAAACAATGCATTCAGACTCCAGACGCAACGGATGAAGTTACTCAGCCATTTCTCTTAACTTTATGATTGACGACCTGGCAAAAATAGCAGCTACACAAAGCAAGTCGTTACAAAAATATAAAAGCCTAAATTAATCTCACAAAAACAACTTTAACAACTTTATAATAGGTACAAAATATAAAAAAGAAACACACTGTGTTGTAGATTAGCAAACATTTTCACACCAGAGTGTAGCGGTACTAATGTCTGCACTAAACTCAGTGTTAGGTGATCTCTTATCTAACTTGGCGGTCAAGTATATGTGCAAGTAGATACAAGTAAAGAAAGTGTTACTAATAAGATGTTACTGTCAAGCAACTGGTCTTGGTCTATACAGATTAGGAGTTGTATTTATTTTCAGAGAACTAAACACCTACTAAAGATGTATTCACGTGGGCGGTTTGATGATGGCTGGATCCCATCCATGTGTTTTAGAATCATATTGTTTCACAGAGCCCTGTTACTGCTGTCATAGATGTTTTACGAATAACATCAACACTGACTCTGACAACTGACACTGACAACACTGTTGTACTGACAGTATTAATATCATGAAAGGGACCCGAAAATCTGCTATTAATAATTGTATTATTGGTATCTTAGCAATTGTAATTGTAGATATCATGTGCATCTGTTGAGAATATATACATTACACTCATTATGTGATAAATAGCTAATCGGTCAGCTATGAATTGAATGGCAAATCATCCTATCATTATCCTTGAATGGTTCAAATTAATGTCATTTAATGCATCATCTCTGATAATTGCAATCTTAAAATGTGACACATTTATTTTACACACAAACTTATTAATATCCGGATGCCCCCCCTCATCCGCCCCATGTCTTTGGCGATGCCGCTAATAATTGTCAAAGTCATTAGCGAGGCAGGAAGAGGAAAAAGCGGCTGGGTTTAGTGGAGACTGAGGATGTCGGACACAGAAACAGACAATGAGTCACGGTCATCGAGCAGCTGCGCTGTGATTTTCCTGAACGTCCCTGTCTGAACGCGGTGAGCAGTCGTCCGCGTATTACTTCTAAATGGATTTGAAAACTAGTCCCTTCACTGTTTCATGATCACGGTTCTCGTGGATACACATTACTAACAGCACAATAATCAGGGGCAGCGGATTAAGTCCTCCAATCTGCAGATAATATTGTCAGTGTTTAAGCTAACCGGGGGAAAGACACATATCGTCAGTCTGTGGAGCCAAGACCAAATCTGTCTGGCCGAGTGGAATAATCCATCTATGTCTGCACAGTGCCAGGCAGAACACAATCACACCGACTGACACACACACACACACACGTCATGCACGCACACGATTCGTACATTTGATTTGAGTTCTGCATTTAACCCGCTATAAGCATGAGCTGCTGTAAAGAAGCTCAGGCTACATACATACCAATACGTTCTGGTTTTAAAACCCTTTCAGAAACGTTTCAGAAAGGAAAAGAAATAGAAAAAAAAACACTTTAATATTAAAAGGTTGTGCTGAATATTCCTCTATAATCTCCCTTTATGGACTCAAAGGTTATTTACAATGCTGCTGGTGTTCATCTCTTACATCATCTCTTACACACACACCAAAGTTGTTTTAAAAATGAACAAAGTTTTATGACATTATGGGTCATTGAATTTGTTTTTTTTTTAAACTTCCAAGTTGTTATGCATTTTTAAAGTGGATGTAGACTCAGTGTCTCGCTCAAGGACACTTCAGCATGTGGAGGGTAAGAACTGGGGATTAAACAAGCAAACATAAAGTAAGATTGTAGCTTATGGCCAGAATCCGCTAATACATGTTGCAGACTCTTTCACAATAAAAACCAAACGAAAAGCATTTTCAAATGTACAATTTTGTGTTGATTTTGGCATGGTGGTAGTATTTCTGAGCCATAGAATACCTTTAGAAAACCTCAAATTTGACTACTTGCCTGGTTTTCTCAAGCATTAAGAATAACTATACAGAAACCAGCCAATCATCATGCTGATTTTCTCATTTATTTATGTAGGTCACATAGAGGCATCTGTTTAATTACAAGTTAACAGTCCCTGACAGTAACTTTAAGTACAGCATAATATTGTAAAACAATAGTTTGTATTGTGGCAGCTCCGTAGCCTCAGTGTGCTTCAAATGATGCGGCTGCGGGATCAAAAAACGTCCAATCCACCGCTACATGGGAATCGAAGGGGGAAAAACGAGTGTGTGACGGGGAGTGTGGAGGAGTGAAATAAAGGAGACAGATTTCCTGAGCTACCCATGAGTCAAGGAGATTAAGATATGTGTGGTATGTGATCCCCTCCCATGCCAAAATAATCGAGGCCTGAGAAACCCCCATTCACCTTTCATCCAGACGTGCCCACCTCTTCTTTACTCCCAACCCCGACAAAGACCACTCAGGCGGGGATAATAGAATTAACAAGCCTGTGTGACCGTCAACTGGGATCCCCCTCAGTGTTAACCCTTGTGACCCCCTGATGAGCGGAGGGGAGCTGGTCTGACTCGGCCCTCCCACCCCTTTGACCCCCCCCCCCCCCCCCCGAGGGTCTGTTTTTGTTCTGGCTACTCGGGCAACCAATCCCAAAAGCTAATTTCCTCCTCTGATGTTGCTCAACGGTTGTTTCTTGAAGTTATCAAAGCGCTCCTCCTCCACTTCTTGGCTACATTCCTCTGAGGGTCCCTCCACTCCTTCATCCACCTTCCTCATTACACACATCCTCCTCTGCTGTCAGCAGCAGGAGACGGGGAGACAGAAAACGTTGTCCCTAAAAATAGAAACAACATCTCGAGTGCCTGAAATCACCCTGATAGTCTTTCATGAGTGGTTTCTGTCAGCGAGGCAATTCGATTCGTCGTTCAAAAATAAACTCCAACACCGTCGCCGCCAGCTGTAAAGGGGTCAACCAAGGGCCCCGTTACACTTCCTTCCTTACACTCTAAAACTATCAAATGATGCTGAACAGCTTTAAAGCATCCGCACTGCTTCTCCCAGGAGCGCTTCTGACAGTTTATCATTCACATGCCACCGACTGGCCCAGGATGAGAAGAAGCAAAGCTGACTGAAGAAAAGGGGTTCAGCGGTTCAGAGGTTGCACTCTAACAAGATCCAGAAGTGGGGTCTGTGATGTGGAAATAATCCCGGTATAGTAAATCTGTTGAAAAACGCCGATATTAGCCAGGAGAGGAAGCACATTTTTCCGCAGCAGCAGATCGCCGCTCACAATCACACACAACCTCAGAGCTTTTCCGGAGATATTCGCTGGCGCAGGACGGAGTTATAAAAGCAAGAATGAGTCGGGAGAAAAAGAAGTGGGTTTAGTGGAAAGAACACAAAGGCTGGACGGGTGGGGGTTTATGGGAATTTCAATACCAGGTAGCCTGAAGGGGGGCTCCAAAGAGGTCTGAGCTCTTGTGAAAACCAGGCATCGATAATCCAGTTTAGACATTATTTAGCGCAGACACCGAGGTCTGAGCACCGTAAGGTCTCCTGAAAGGTGAATCCCATGTGAAGACAGACGTCATTTCAATAACAACATTTCCTATTATACACTACATTACTTTTTGCTTTTATCTTACTTCCACATGTCTGCCTCGTTCAGATATTGTAACAATATCGAGCAGATGTGAAGCATCCATAACACGAGAGTTCATGTCATCACATCCCGAGCAAAGCCAGCAGATTTGTTGTGGATTGCTTTTTGGAAGTTTATAAAACCGTGAATAATGTGCATACGAGGAAAGCGTGGTGCTAGCCGTGTGAACAACAATACTTTGTTTTTCTTCAAATAATTGAGAACAAGTTTCCAGTGTTCTGACTGATAAAATAGGTTGAACCAGCATATGTTTTTATATTCCTACTCAATAACTGATAACTTGATTAAAGAACATTTTCTGTAACTCTGCTTCACTTAAATCTGAAATAATGAATGTTGTTTCACAACAACAACAACATGACAAATTAGTTACTTATCAACTTGACACCAAGCGAGTTCGCAAACAGCCACTTAATAGCATATATTCAGCAGAAAAGGGGGATTAGCTTTCACGTGGGAATGATGAGGACAACCCATCTCTTATATTCACTCTCCTTTTGTTTGTCTCCTTCTGTTTTGGTCACATCCTGAGGGTAATATCTGTCTCTTCGGCTGATGAACTCTCCACTGTGTTTGCTTGTGTTTGCTGAGAGGAACCTGCAGGGTTGGGAGAAGCTTCTCACTACAAGCGACCCCTTTCCACTTTGAGCCATTAGCGTCCACTATTAAACAAAACCTCTTGATTAGTGCAGCTTTAACCGTTGGTCAGGCTGACCTGCTTCTGACAAAACCACTGCCATGCTTTCATTTAGTTCTTCCACCTCCTTCCTCCACTTGCCTCCCCCTTCTCGGCCTCCACGTCCCCCAGCCATGCTCACCCTTTATCCCTTTCTTCTCCTCTCACTTTCCTTTTTCCATCCCCCCTCTCTCTCCGGCGACTCCCTGCTCTCTGGTCTGTGCAGATAGATTTTCATCTGCCCGTTCTGAAACAGCAGCACCACAGCGTGACTGACCACAGGCAACGCCAGCGTGAAGATGAGAGCAACAGGTGGAAAGTTGTAAATTGTTAGATCAGAGCAGGCGGAAGTATTGGTATACGAGTGTTAATAATAATGATTGATAACCATTTGGGTAACTTCTGTTTTAATGTCTGGTCACTGCTCTGGTAGAGTTTCACTGATCCCAAAAGCAGTGGGACCCAAAACACTTGAAATAAAACAGGATTTTGAAAGAATGTGGTGTGAAGTTGAGAGCTTGTTCAGACCAGCAGAGATATTCATCTTCGGTATCCTGGGTGGCCGTAATCCTGAGAGCAGCGATCTCAGCGGCTGGCGTGAGCGAGAAAGACAGAGGAACAGAGGAAAGAGAGGAAGTCAACGGGCAAGGTGAGTCTCAATAATCCTCCACGGCA